GACCGACCAGGCTTGATAGAACATGACTGAGAGAGGACTCGAGCAAGCACCAGGGGCCGATCATTTATTTCCTGGATACTAAAGAGAGGATCTTAGCTGAGAAAATTTAAGTGTTTGTAAGACAAGCCCTAAGTTATGGTCCTGCGTGCAATTAAGGTTACGTAACAAAAAGAAAGTGAGGACACAAAAGGCACAAGGTGGATAAAACACTATAACCCGATTTGCAAATACAGTTACATTAGACATGAGCAGTGATGAGTGTCTCCAAGGACCAAGTATTAGACACCTTCAGATCTTCTTGGCCTCACCTATGCCATTGGCCAGTGAGTCACCCACCATCACGACAACCAAGTTTTGGGGGGCAACCTGACCACAGCGTGCCTCCTGTGGGGCCGGGAGGCTCCCCACTGCCCTGTACCTCCCAGATCACTGCTATGAAGCTACTTTATTGCTTGAGGAGAGATGCCTCAGGTTCCCCAGGCCTTTGCAAGTCCACCTGGCTATCTATTAACTAGCATCTGTGCACCTGTGAAGGAAACCTTTGGCCAACGGGAGACCAGAGCCAGGATCCAAATTCTCCTTTCTTCACCACAACCCCCTGTCCGGAGGCACAGCCATTCTTAGTGCTTCAGAAGACAGTTGGGTGAGACTGGCAATCAGTCACCCTTGGTACCAAACAGCATCCAGCTCACTACCACATTGTAGGGTTGGCACCTCCTCCTCCCCTCTGCACACCTACACGCCTCGTTCCTACTTCCAGGGATTGCATTCGTGCTGAAGAAGGAAGCAGCCTGTGAGCGTTTGCTCAGGGTCTGCTTTCTGATGAAACCAAACTACAGTAGACCTGTATGCAGATGATCGGGATTTTGACCACTCTTTCCTCCTTAGTGAGGCGTGGATTGTAGAATGAAGGAGTTGGCTGTTGAAGAAGAATGCAATTAGCCTAAGAATGAATCAGCAGATGAATGAGGGGCTCCAGAGCCTGCTGGAGCTCTGGGATCACAATTTCAATTTCTTTCTTTTGCCCCTTTTGAGTATCCTGTTGTCTCTGCTGCTAAAAGATCAAGTGAGGCATATTAAAAATGTTAAGTTTCTTTGAGTGAAAATCTATCCCAGGAGGGCAGCACCAAGCCAGAAGTGGTTAGGCCCCGGTCCACCGACAGGAGATGTAGAGCAAGACTTTTATGGGAGACGCAGGAGCAAAGCAAAGCAATTATTGATTGGCTACAGTTTAAGCAGTTGCCTTATTTGGAAAAGCTCACTTGGCTCTTCGTGACTGGTGGCTTTTAGGTTTTGACTTCCTAACCCTGAGACACTGATAGGCTTAGGCCTCGGTTTGCTTACGTGAGGTCATGAGGCCACGTCAGTCTCCTGGGCTCCTTTTCTAATTAATCTAACACCGTTTTTCACTCTGTTTCAGTTTGTTATGCTGAGCACGACTGGTTTGGTCACGCCCTTTCTAAGTACCCTGACCACCAGCAAAAGTAGTACAGATGCGGGGTTTGCTTTCCTTGCTCTACATTTCAATAGACTGATTTTTACCTCTTCCTTTCTGATTCTTGTTATTTCTCTCATCCCACCAATCTGCTAACTCATTTTCTTACTTATTCCTGTATTCCTATTTAGCCATCGTTGCTGGTCTTTATTTTCCTTGAAACCTTGTGTTCGGTGTGTTTCTGCAACTTGGAAATGACTTTTTGCCTGCCTTTCCAGGAAGGCCCATCATTTCTATAAAAATGACTGGCTTCTCGGCATTGCCAGGAGGGCACTGGCCACTGGACGTCCCACCCCCAACAAACTCCATCTCTGTGGTGCTTCTCATTGTTTTAGGTTAAGCATTCTTCACTCCTAGGGAGGTCTGATAAATCAAGTGCTTTTTTTATTGTTTTTGCCTTTAACTCTTCAATGCTCCTAAAATAGGAGCTTCACTACCTTTGAGTACCAGTCCCCGAAAGCATAAGGGAGCAAATCCCCAAGTTTTGTCATAATAGAGCCCGGCCTACTCCAGTATAACTCCTCCTTAGTTTCAGTAATTGCCTGCTCATCCTTCAAAGTCATGGTTCTTTACAAAGAGAACAAGGAAGCAGAATTAATTAATAGAGGACTGGCTGGATTGGAAAGGCACCAACTTAAAGGTCGAGAGAGGGATGAAAGGCGATAGAGTATTGACACAAGATTGTTAGTCTACTGCTCTGCAGAACCCCAAACCTCTCAAAGTTCTTTTTGGCATCCACATATTCACCAAAAACCTTCCACCTTCTACAGTACAAAGTCAGTGCATTTGGGGCCAAGTTCAACTGGTCAAACCTATGCAAAGCAAGCACATTTTAAAAAAATTCTAATAATTAAAATAATTGGCTAGCTAAGAAAAGACTGTCCCAGTTAATTGGTCTCCGCTGAAGAAACATTAGGCTTTGGGGAAAATACATGTTTAATAGAAGTAATAAGTTATTAATACAAATGGAAATTCTGCAAAATGTAAAATAGTGAGTAGTGGAGAATGTTCAAGTTGCTTGCTAAAGCTAAATTAATTTGTTCCCTTCTCCCTCCCTATCCATTAAGCTGTTAATTGACTTAAAATATTAATACAGCTCAAGAATCACAGAGAGGCACCTCCTTATTTGCAATTTTCCTGTCAAATGTCTTACTACTGTATCAAAAATGATTATTCATAATATAAGCATACATTGCAATTAATCAGAACCACAGCAATGGGAGTGTTTACGAATGTTGTTAGTGTTCTCAGCCTGGTTAAAAACAGATCCTCCTTTACCCCCTTCGAATTTTGAACAATCTCCTTTAAAAGGCATGTTTCCTCTTTTTTTTATGGAATCTATGGAGTTCATTTTTCCCCGTGGTGCTAATTTATGGTGTTTATTTGTAAACATGGTGGCATTAATAACTATCAACATAACATTTGAAGGGAGCCATTAGTCGGGTCTCCAAGGAGATGACTGGTTTCCTACAGTCGCATCCAGGGGCTTGTCCCCCAACATGGTCACTCAGGGATCTCACAGCAGGCAGATGATGTTTGTTAGGCCTAGTTAGGGCTCTGGCCCAGGTGCCTTTGGAGAACTAGGATAAACCATGAGTGTGCCACAGAGTCCCTCTTTCCCACTCTTTTAAGGCCTGGTCAAAGAGAGGCACAACATCTTCCTTCACACACCCTTGCCTCCTAGACCTTAGTCTAGTTTCCAGTCTGCTATATTTTTGTTTAACTTTTTATTTTAGATAACGATCAATTCACAAAAATTTGCAAAAATCGAGTACGGGGAGATCCTGTGCGTGTGGACGTAGCTTCCTCCAGTGGAACATCTTATGCTTCACTATAGGACAATATCAAACCCAGAAGTTGACATTGGCCTACTGCTTTTTTTGTTGTTGTTGTTGGGGCCTGTTACTCACTTTTAATTAGGAAGACGCTCTGAGCCCTTATTCTATCGTCCGCAGTGGACAAGTTACAAGAGAGTGAGAACAATTGAAAAATGAGGCACTCAGAAGATAGAATATGTAAACCCTTTGCTTTTCTAAGGTTTCATACAACCTAGTTGTCTCCATGACCCATAAATGAACTCTTCCTTGGAGATGAAACATGAGAAGAAATAGCACCAACAAGAGCATTACAATTTTAAATGCCACTAAAAAGAGCGCTGCAACGTTATATGCCAATAACAAGAGCACTGCGATTTTAAAATCTCTTCCCAACCATTTCAAGACAATTGTGTTAAACCATCATTTAAGAAGCTATCGTTGTTGAAAAAGCTGAGTCTCAACTGCTGGCATCTGCATAGTCAATCCAAACCTGATTTGGGGGAACTTGTGCCTATGAATATTAGAAAAAAATATATATTCTCTTGCTTTATGATTAAATGATGTAATTATCTTGAAGATTATGTGGAAAAGTGCCTTTTGCAACATAAAGACTCGATATCTCAAGAGTCTTCCCACTACCATACAAGTAGATCCTTTATAAAACTTTTTTTTTTTTCTGAACTTGCAAAGAATAAGGAAACTCTTTTTTAAAGAGTGAGCTAAGGACACCTGGGTGGCTCAGTGGTTAAGTGCCTGCCTTCATCTCAGGTCATGATCCCACAGTCCCAGGATCGAGTCCTGCACTGGGATCCCTGCAGGGAGCCTGCTTCTCCCTCTGCCTGTGTCTCTGCTTCTCTCATGAATAAATAAATAAAACCTTTAAGAAAATAAGAGTGAGCTAAAACCATCAGTGTTTGGGGTAAGCCCCAGGGAAGAACAAGGTTGCCCTGAGAGCAATGAAATATTAGAACAGAAATTGGAGATTGAAAAAAAAAAAAAAGAAATTGGAGATTGAGCCTTGAGCCTACGGAGGGGGGGGGGTGAAGATTTTTTATAAAGACCGATACCTTAAACTGGACCCTGAGAGAATTATTCACACACTAACTCAATATTCACAAACAAATGAGAAACAAACCGCAATGGATGGAACTCGGCAGAAGTAACCATCTATAGATGCAGACTGCTCGGGACGCTAGATGGTAGAAGGATCCCTTTCAGAAGAGAAAATAACTCCTTAGAAAATACTCTAATTTTAAAAACGAAACGATGCAAATTAGGAAGAACTTAGCAAACAGCATGGGATCATCGGAAACGAACAGATAGATTTAGGTTAAAGACCAAACACAACGTTAAGAAATGACAAAACTGTCGAAAGCACAGACTGCGTGGTGCATTAAGCAGAGGATTAGATGGATGGCTACATGAAAGAGAGAATTGGCAAATGGCTCTGAAGAAATGACACAGAATGCCACATGTAGGGACAGAAAGGTTGAAAAATTTCAGAGCCTTTTTACCCATCTGTAAAACATGAATTAAAATACCTGCCCTATTTTGTCCTGTTTGCCACCAGATTCTACTCCATGAGAACAGTGCACGCTCTGGGGGACAAGGACCCATCAGGACAAACGGCCGTCACACACCAACAGGGTACAATCTGGACGCCCTCTGCCCCCTTCAGTCCCTTTCCCTCAGGCGATCCCTTGGCTTGGGTGGCTCCGCTGCACAGCCAGCTCACACTGAGTCTTCGGAGATACCCGGACCAGAGATCGCCCCGGGCCCAGGCCCTCTGGGGTGGGGGAGCACGCCTCACGTGCGATGGCTGGCCAGGGGCCCACCGGGCCACACATCCGCCGGGACCCAGCTGCCCAGATCCTACAGTTTGAAAGTGGAGATTAAGATTTGGAAATGATAGCACGTAACTGAGGGAGAAGCATTCTCCTCTGGAAGAGGCCTCATCTTGGAGCCTAAGGGAGTAGGACTCACATATGGCCTCTCAGGTGACAGAGAAATGATCCCAGCGCTATTCTTGTTTTTTTTTTTTTTCTTTAATTTGTATTCTAATTGCAGTGAGTTAACCTACAGGGTTGCATTAGTTTCAGGGGTACGATCCGGTGATTTGACTCTTCCACACATCCCCCAGGCTCACCCCGACCAGCATTAACCTTGTGACTGTGGTATGCTGTGCTTCGGCAGCTCTCCTCCACGGGGAGGGCAGGATGCAGTGTTGTGCCTAAGACAGCGGGCCTCAAGCAGTGACTCTCTACCCTAGCTGCCCAGGGAGCTTTAAAAAAGGCTGGCGCTGGGTCCTACTCCCCAGAGATTCTCATGGGCTGGGGTACAGCCTGGCATCAGGGTTTTGGAAAGCTTCCCTGTAGATCCTAATGTGCCACTTGAGCTAAGAACCTTTGAGAACAGGGGGCTTCACACATCCGTGGGCATGTGTCACCTGGCAGGCTTTCCAACACAGGAGGAGCTCCACACCCTCAGTCTGGTCTCCAGCCCAGCAACAGCAGCAGCACTGGGGGCCTTGTTAGAAAGGTAAGCTCTTAGGGCTCCTGGAGGGCTCCGTGGGTTGCCGTCTGCCTTCAGCTCAGGTCATGGGTTCAGGGTCCTGGGATCGAGTCCCACATCGGGCTCCTTGCTCGCTTCTCCTCCTGCCTCTGCCTGCTGCTCTCCCTGCTTGTGCTCGCTCCTTCTATTAAGTAAATAACTAGAATCTTAAAAAAAAAAGTAGAAAGAAAAGAAAAGAAAAGAAAAGAAAGAAGAAAGAGAGAGAGAGAAAGAAAGAAAAGAAAAAAAAAGAAAAGAAAAGAGAAGAGAAGAAAAGAAAAGAAAAGAAAAGAAAGAGAAGAGAAGAGAAGAGAAGAGAAGAGAAGAGAAGAGAAGAGAAGAAAAGAAAAGAAAAGAAAAGAAAAGAAAAGAAAAGAAAAGAAAAGAAAAGAAAGAAAAGAAAAGAAAAGGAAAGAAAAGAAAAGCAACGCAAACTTTCAGGTGCCCTGCAACCCTGACGAATGGGAAACTCTAGCAAACTCTAATTTAATCAGCCCTCCAGGAGATTCTAATGCAAGATAAATGTTGAGAACAGTCCTACCACAGATGGACCCATTTTCTTCTGGGTTCAGTCCCCTCGGAGACACTTCCTAGCTCCGTGACCTGAATATGTCACCTCACCATGGGCTTGCGTCTCAGTCTCACCATCTGTGAAATGGGGCTAACGGTACCTTCCTCACAGCCTTGTGAGGCTTAATGAATAAAAGAATAAAGAGTAAAATAGTAAAAGCAAAATATGTTGAGCTGTAGGAAACCTGCCAGACCAGGATTCTGAAGCCACACTGACCATCTACTTTTTCAAAGCAGGGGTTGAAGTCTGTTACAAAACCTTGACTACGCGTATTAATCTCACCTGTGGAGATTTTTTTTTTAAAAGTCCTGATGCCTGACTCTCACCCCCCAGGGATTTAAAAAAAAATTTCCATGTGCAGCTAACATTGAGAACAGAGATTTAGATTCGAGTTTGTTAAGCCAATTTGTATCGGCTCAGATACGTTTATAATTTGTTGACTCCCGCTGCCGAGTTCTGGGCTAAGCAGGCGGCCACTAACCTGATGATTAGTTCAGTGGGGACAGTGTGCATTCTTAGAGATTTGCTTTCCTTTAAATTAATCCACGACGGCGGTGTGAGCGCGCCTGCGCTCCAGTGCACGCATCAAGGTAACTAGCATTTGGGATTTCTGCTGTCTCTGGCTGACACCCTTGGCCCAGCGGCGGAGGCTTGCCAACACCTGCCGGCAAACCCTACAATCCAGACTCGGCAAGCGCCTGTAATCCCGACTGCTGAAATGTCTCACCTACTCTGTCTCCGAAAACCTGCCTTTCAGTGTTTGCAAGGCAAGAATTAAGTTAACGATCCTAAAACCAAGACAAGCAAACAAAGAAACACAACCGACCAACATGTAGAGACTGAATGCAATTAGAAATTGGGGTTTTGCATCTCCAAAAAAGAAAATCTGATGACCACCAGCGCTGTGAAGCGAAACAGGCTCTAGACTAAAGGTGGGAGTTCTCATCCTGTTTTGTTCCCTAACCAATGCCCAGCCCGTTCCTCAGACCGTCCGGGCCCCTGCTTTCCCAACCTGGTATCTAAAAAGGGAAGTGTACAAATTGAACTTCAGTAAAAGATATATTTAAAAAAAAAGGGGGGGGTTGGGGAAGGGTACAGTCCTTGATCTCTAGTGTCCCTATTACCATTAAATGTTATGAAAATATCATTTCCCCTTGCAGTCAACAAATTCAGATGCTTCCTCCATCTTACCAACATCAATTAAATTTGGGCTTAAAAATTTTCAGGACAGCCCATAATAACATTATTTTGACCTGCATTTTAGTTCACGTTCATTTGCCAGGTCTTTATTGAGCATGTGCCACAGGCCAGCCCCGTGTTCTAGGCCCAGGGGATTGAACACGGGCCAGGCCGGAGCATGTTTCTTCTCTCATGGAGCTGCCATTCTACTGCAGAACAAGTCAGCCCGTGTCCCATGAAGTGTGATTGTCAGAACCCTCCAGCTGCTTTTTCCTTCTTTGCAGCAACTCGTGTTTGCACCGTAACAGAGGTACCAGAGAAGACGGGGAAGGAGGGCAAGGACCAACTGAAAACCTGGCTAAGACTTAAGAATAGTCTTTTTTTTTTTTTTTTTGATTTAGAATAGTCTTAAGGGCAGCCCTGGTGGCCCAGCGGTTTAGTGCCACCTTTGGCTGGTGTATGATCTTCGATACCCGGGATCAAGTCCCACGTTGGGCTCCCTGCATGGAGCCTGCTTCTCCCTCTGCCTGTGTCTCTGCCTCTCTCTGTGTCTCTCATGAATAAATAAATACAATCTTATTTAAAAAAAAAGAATAGTCTTAAAAAGAAAGATTCTTTAAAAAATCACCCATTCCACCAAGGGATTAAAGGGCGATTTGTTCTCACAGAGGTTGTTTCCACACTTTAAGGAGTACTTTTGAAAACTAAAATCTCTGTGGCATATGGCAAGTGAGGATTAGTCTGCACGGGTGCAGCACCACTCACCTGATTGCTTTTTCGGCAGGTTGGCAAAATACAGTCCTCAGGCCAAATCCGGCCCTCCATCTTTCTTTTGTAAATAAAGTTTTATTGGAACACAGCCACACTTGTTGAAGTATCATCTATGGCTCCTTTTGCCCTAACATGACAGGACTGATAGTTGTGCCTCTATGTCCCGTAAACCTCAAGTGGGTTTTGAGACGGCCGAGAGAGCTTTGAAAAGCTGTCCATGCCCCCTTACACATTTTCTCATTGACGTCTGCTAGTTTTTCATGTAGGGTTAAATAGTAAGAGATGTAATTTGTAGCACGTTATACAATGGGATGTTCTAAGATGAAACAGTTGACGTCTCTTTTCCTAAATGCGTCCAAAGAAGTCAAAAGGGATGCGATGGGGTGTCCACATGCTGCCCCCTTCGAGGTATTCATTCATTCTGGGGTGGGATCTGCCGCTGGCTCATATCTGAGTCTCTCCACAGGAAGTGCTTCTGAGGGAACGGAGCCACGTAGGCAACGGTTACGCTACCTCCTGAGGACACAGCTACCATCAGTGACTGGCCCTTTGTGGGGACTCAGAGACCTGGTCCCTTCTGCCTCATCCCGCCACCTGCCATGGGATCCGGGGTTCCCCATGCAGGCTGCAGCCTCCGGGGTATTGACATCAAATCCCATTCTGAGTCCCTGACTCTCCCACATTGTTATTCCAAATGCAACATCCCAGGAAACCTGCTGCACACAAACCTCCATCCTAGAGGGTTTCTTGGGGAACCTGACTGAAATACCCATTTTCAAAAGTACATAACTAACCTCTTCTTTAGCATTAGGAGAACTCCTCGTTTTTTCCCTTGCTTTCTGCTTTGCCCACAGATTTTTATCCTACTGTAGTGTATTTGTGTGGTTGAAAGTCCTTTGATTGCCCTCTTGTACTTCCCTGTCACTAAATTATTATATAAAGTAAAATTTAAAGGACATTTTTTAAAATGTTAGGTCCAGGATAACAAACATATTGTGTTCTATTAGTTCCAGGTGTACAATAGAGGGATGCAACAATTCTCTCCATCACTCAGTGCTCATCATGAGTGTACTCTTCGTCTTCATCACCTATTTCACCCATCTCCCATCCCACCTCCCTTCTGGTAACCATTACTGGACTCTCTATAGTGAAGAATCTGGGTGGTTTTTCTTCTTTTTTTTTTTTTTTGTCTCTTTTAAAAATTTTCTTATGGAGCAGCCCCGGTGGCTCAGTGGTTTAGCGCCGCCTTCGGCCCAGGGCGTGATCCCGGAGGCCCAGGATGAAGTCCCACATCAGGCTCCCTGCATGGAGCCTGCTTCTCCCTCTGCCTGTGTCTCTGCACCACCCCCTCTGTGTCTCTATGAATAAATAAGTAAAATCTTTAAAAAAAATTTCTTATGAACGTAGGTTTCCATGTGTTAAATCTCTTCTGGACTGAGCTATCATTGCAATAATGAGTAATACGTATTTGACCCAAACAACATAAACGTATTATAGGTTTGATAACCATTACCCACAAGAAAGTAAGAGTAGGAATGCATCTCTTAAGACGGTGACTTCTATTTTTAGTTTTGTGTATCAATGAACAAATATTATTTACCGCTAACGGAGACTGTTGAACATCAGTTCTATTCCATTTTGTTTTATTGGTCATGATGTACAAATGGGGTATCTGTGAGTGTCCCCCATGTAAATAGGTAGGAATGGAAGTGATGTGGCGTATTGTGCTGCAATGTCTTCTTTGACCTCCTTCGGAGTGATTCACCAAAAACCACCGACTGACGAAATGCCAAAACTTATTTTAATGCCTCATCAGCCGACAACTCAATTAAGACCTTCTTTAGTTTTCTTGAAAACAAAGAATTGAAAACCACTTGACTTGCAGAAGGACTTGTTAACCAGGCATTGAGGTCATTCCCATTATCAACACCTGGACCGTATTTCAAGTTGTTCATCATTTGTGACATCCCAGAGGCAACAGAGAAAGTTTGTGAACGGAGGAGGAGTTGACACCTCTTATGAAGAAAGAACGGGAGGCTGGCAAAAGGGAAGACCTGAGTGCAAGTAGTTTTCAGTTCCATTTCATGACAGAAGTGCATATGGAGGTTGAACACTTGCAAAGTAGCCTTGTCGGTGAATTCCTTGAAAAGCTTCATTTCAAAAAATAAATTAAAAAAAAAAAGAAGAAGAAGAAGAAGAAAAGCTTCATTTCCCCTCAGGGCTGCACCCACACCAGCTTGAAGGTCTCCGTGCCACATTAGTACCAAGCTCCTGAACAAGCAGAGGTTTTCTCCTATAATATTTTCTTTAGTTATAAGTAGATATTTAATAAGGACCAGGAAGGATTTGACAAAGGAGGTGGAGACGTAGTTCTTAAACAGGCTTTGGCACAAGCTTCTCTGGCCCTGAAATCTTCCGTGTACTCTGTTTTCCTTAATGAAAAATGGGGACATTGCATCACCGCAAAGCACTGTAAGGGCTACAGTGTGAGGGACACCTGGGTGGCTTTAGTCAGTTAAGTGCCTTCAGCTCAGGTCATGATCTCAGGGTCCTGAGACTGAGCCCCAGGTCGGGCTCCCTGCTTAGTGAGGAGTCTGCTTCTCCCTCTGCCCCTCTCCCTGCTCCTGCTCTCTCTCTCTCTGTGAAATAAAATCTTTAAAAAAAAAAACAGTCTGAGACTTCTGGAAGGAATCTCAAAAGGAATGTGTATTCTCAAATATCTAGCATTTTATCTGACAGATTTTATATTTTCTGTCATAGGACATGCATGGTATTAGGAGGAAGGAAAAACCAAAGAAAAAAACAAAAGAAGGGTGGGTTCGAGAGTGACTTTGAAAAAAATCTAGCTATATTTATCCCCTGTTCCCTTGTTCCTCTGACCAGGGTGACAGGGAGATTCTTTTAAATGACACAATCAGGTGGGTATAGAAGACAAGAAGGAAATATTGCCCAAGGTCAGAAGTGACCTTTACTGGGCTGTCCTTGAAGCTGTTAGAATATTTCACTTACTGGATGAATCTTTAAGGCTTTCTTTTCTTTTCTCACACATTTTCCAAGGGCAATAACTGTGGCAAAATTATTGACGTAGAAGTATTGAGGGGCTCAACTTTATATTTATAACAAGAATTGATAAAGCCACAGAAAAAGCTTAATTTAAAAAAATGTACATAGTCTAATTCTGCCTACATTTACTTTGGTTGTCTATTTTTCTCCTGAATTACTTAAATAATTTACCATATTCTTTGGTTGGAAATATAAATCCCTTCTTGCTGATACAGTTTATATTCGTGAGATTTGTTATTTCCCCTTCTAAACCACCCAAATGCATCCTGTAAAAGAAGTGCTGTGTCGCCGTGGCCAGCCATAGGAGATGCAAGAAAACAGGGAATAAACACAGCTAGAATTCTCTCGGAGTCACTCTCCAACTCACCCTTCCTTATTTCGTGTTTTCCTTCTACAAGTATCTTATACTTTAGATATTTAGTATCTTGGTATCTATTTGCTATGCCTCTTGCTAGAACAGAGCGTGTGAGAAGAAAAAATATCAAGAGTTTGAGATCAGAAGACCTGAGGCTGCCCATGATTGTGGACAGGCCACTTAACTTTATTGAGCTTTTATCTACTTATTTATGCAAGGGTGATAGTTTTCCTCTCTGGCGTTATCCCATGTATGGGAAAGGCACGTATGAATGCAGACGTGTTTGAGTGTCGACGGGCAACACAAACAGCCCAATGAAACAAACTTTTCCTGCTTTACAGAGTTTAAATTCATAAGAAAAAGACAAAGATGATTTTCAAAGTCTAGTGTTATCTATAAGGAATCATTCACGTCTTACCTGTAAACATGTAGTTTGTTTAGGCTTTTAATAAGGAAACAAGGGAGGGGGAAATCAGTTCGCCGCACATACAACTAGTTGTATCGACATAGTATTTGCAGAGAAAGAAATCCATTTAATCAAAATATCACAGCACTGGATTTCACACTTAAACCCACATGCAGATTGTAGGATTATGTTGCAGAATGTTTTGACGGAAAGTGTTAAATATAAAAATAATTCAATGCAATTTCCATTTAGCACATTTGTTACAAGACTCATTCTTCAATGGAATTAACAAGTTTGCAATCTTTCTCCTAAGGTGCTCTGTGTTCAACGTGCCCTGTAGCATTGAGGTGGAGATCGGGGAACCAACGCTGCAGAGCCCCACAGTGATGCGGCTCAGCAGTAAACGAAATTGGATCAAATGCAGATGAAACCCACTCACAAAACCTAAGACAGACAGTGGAGATCAGCGGTGTGCTGAGTGGTGCTCCTCCTCGGTTGGGGGTGGGGCTGGGACAGGTCATAAACACATCTTGACAGTCATAATGAAAATAAGCTTCACGTTGAATCCATCGCTTCTATAGTGAGTTCCCTTTCCCAGAGAGGGAGAAGAATAGAGACGCAGAGAAAGAAAGAGACAGAGAAGCTTCACAGCGCTTCCGCAACCCATGTTCCAACTGAGACTAGTCCTCAGTACAATCCACCGTCCACAAGAGCAGTTCCAGACTTTCGAGTACATCAGAATGACCCGGAGGGCTTGTTAAAACACCAACTGCGAGGCCCCCGCCACAGTTTCCAATTTAATAGGTGTGACATGAGGGCGGGGCTTTGTATTTGGAACAGTTCCAGGTGATGCGGATGTCCTGTCAAGGGACCACATTTTGAGAACCACGGGTCCATTATATCTTTGACCATTCAAGGGCTCCCTTATTAAAATGAAACATACTTACCACGGTCATACACCTGGTCCCTGGAGGGCACAGGGTATAGGACAGTCAGCATAGATTATATGATGATTTAGGGCAGTGGTCCTCAATTTTAGCTACATAATTTTAAAAACAAACAAAAATAACCCCAAAAACAAAACACTTGATGTCTACACTCATCTAAAGCTAATCAAATCCAAATCTCTGCGGGGGAGGGGGCCCGGGGTCCAGTCATTCATGCCATGCTCCTCCCAAGTCTAATGTGTAGCCCAGTTGGAGAGTCACTGCTTTAGGAAATCTTGTTTCACCTCCTCTTGGGAGAAAAAGATGGCCAAACGTATGCGCCCTCTAGGGTACTGGTCTAGGAACAAAGACATTTTCAAAAAAAAAAAAAAAAAAATCAGAATCCCCGGTGGGCGCACGCTGACGCACAACTACTTCTAATAATATCAACAGGTAATTTAGAAAGGGATTCTGAGTGTTGAGTTACAACGCCCTGCAAGGTTAGTTCACAAGTCTGAAATACCGGAACTTGGGAAGGTGAGCAGCACACTAACTTAATCCAAGCTGCTTTTCCATCAGGTGACATCAACCAAAGAATCCAGAGTCTAGAACGTCGGTGCCTGTGCCCACGTGCAAGGTTTACCTGCTATGATCACTGTGACTCATTTCAGTCAGCTAAGTTATTTACTACTTTGATTTACATTTGAAAGGACCTATAGTAAGGCCCTCAGGGACCAAGTGCCACAGACACTGATGTCCACCTCAGAGAGCAAAACTACAGAAACACAGACGGAGAAAACAAAGGCCATTTTGAAATAAGACTGCCACTTGACTCCTCTGGCATAAATAAGATGAATACATATTTCTAATATTTCTACATGCCATAGAATCCCTTTCTGGAACCATTTACAGGGTTGCAGCAATCTTTAGCATCGAGTGTACACGGAAGGACCTTTAGAACTCACTTTTATAAACCAGGTCATTAAACCCCCAAGCCACAGACTTTAAATAAAAGTCTAAACGTATGAAACCAGGCCTAATATTTGATTATAAATTAAAAAAAGAATTTAAACAAACCCCAGGTGTGAGGGCTGAGCCTCTCGGTGATCTTTGGTAAACGTCAAACGCTTGAAAACTATCAATTTGGTATGAATAGAGACAGGTTGGCTATGTTGACTAGCAACAGCCTCACAGCCCCCCATTGGGAGCCGCTGCCCCCAGAGGGTCCTACAGGTCCAGCCAGTTCACACAAGCACAGTGATAAAAAAAAAAAAAAAAAAAAGAGGAAATCTAAAGTTCTAGTGAGATGCTTGGTGACTCTTTCTCCAGTCTCTAAGTCTTCCAGAAGACATCTTTCAAATATCCTGAAAAATAATTTAAAAGAAAAAAGGATAGAACGATGAGTAAAATCACGCAAGATAGTAGAAATTGGGCACTAAGCCTATGAGGGTATCAGGGAAATGGCAGGAAAACAGGAAATGCTAAAAATAATGTTGGTCTCTAGTTACCCTCTGCAATATTTTACAGATATCTTTTATGTGTATGTATTTTTTTTACTATTTTAACATATTTTATCTCATGTTACGTATGAATATATGAGGCTTCACGGAAACTGCAGAAATGAGGGCAGAGAGCCCACTTCCAGGCAAACAGCCAGCGCCGTCCACTAAAAGGGAAATGACTTGGGCAGAGCCTGGGTGGCCCCTGTGGCCCGTCCTGGCCCGTGTCCCACCTCTGGAGGCCGCGAAGGGGACCTGGACTCCCCCTCTGCAGGGAGGAGCTGGGGGTCGGGGTGGGGGTGGGCAGGGGCAGGGGGCCCTGGAGCCCGGAGCCGGCCACCCACTCACCTGGGGCTCTGAGCCCCGCCCGGCGTCAGGGGCGCGCGCCCGGCTGCCTCGCGTCCTCCCTGCAGCCCGCGGACCTCGCCGCTCCCGGGCCCCGCGCTGCCGCTCTCCGCGGTCCTGACCCGCTCCCCCGGGCCGCCGCCCGGTCCAGGCCTTCGGGCGCGCCCGCCGCCGGCCCCCGGCTGCCCTCGTCGCCCCCGGCCGCTGCGCCCCCGGGGTCCTGCGCGCCCGGCTCCGGGGGGTCCGGGGGGTCCGGCGGGGGGGCCCCGCCCTCTGCGCCCGGAGCCCGCGTCCGCGCCCCCTCCGCCCCAAGGGACCCCCGCGCCCCCCGCCCCCTCCCCCTCCTCCCCGCCCGGCCCCCCCGCCCTCCGCCCCAAGGGGCGCTGCCCCCTCCACCCCTGCCCCCTCCGCCCCAAGGGGCACTGCGCCCTCCGCCCCCTCCCCCTCCTCCCCAAAGGGCGATGCGCCCCCCGCCCCCGCCCCCTTCTCCCCGCCGGGCCCCCCGCCCTCCGCCACGAGGGGCGCTGTCCCCTCCACCCCTGCCCTCTCCTCCCCAAGAGGCGATGCGCCCTCCGTCCCCTCCCCCTCCTCCCCACCGGGCCCCGCGCCCTCCGCCCCAAGGGGCGCTGTCCCCTCCACCCCTGCCCTCTCCTCCCCAAGAGGCGATGCGCCCTCCGCCCCCTCCCCCTCCTCCCCACCGGGCCCCGCGCCCTCCGCCCCAAGGGGCGCTGTCCCCTCCACCCCTGCCCTCCCCTCCTCAAGAGGCGCTACGCCCCCCGCCCCCGCCCCCGCGCCCTCCTCCTCCTCCTCCCCGCCGGGCCTCCCGCCCGCCACCCCAAGGGGTGCTGCCCCCTCCACCCCCGCCCCCTCCGCCCCAAGGGGCGCTGCGCCCTCCACCCCTGTCCCCTCCGCTGCAAGGGGCGCTGCGCCCTTTGCGTCCGGTGCCCGCACCCCCTCCCCCTCCTCCCCGCGGGGCCCCGCGCCCTCCGCCCCTGCCCCCTCCTCAAGGGGCGCTGAGTCCCCCGCCCCCTCCCCCTCCTCCCCGCCGGGTCCCCCGACCTCAGCCCCAAGGGGCGTTGTCCCCTCCACCCCTGCCCTCTCCTCCTCAAGAGGCGCTACGCCCCCCGCCCCCGCGCCCTCCTCCTCCTCCCCGCCGGGCGCCCTGCCCTCCGCCCCAAGGGGCGCTGCGCCCTCCACCCCTGTCCCCTCCGCTGCAAGGGGCGCTGCGCCCTCTGCGTCCGGTGCCCGCACCCCCGCCCCCTCCTCCCCAAGGGGCGCTGCGCCCTCCGCCCCCTCCCCCTCCTCCCCGCCGGGCCCCGCGCCCTCCGCCCCTGCCCCCTCCTCAAGGGGCGCTGCGCCCCCCGCCCCCTCCCCCTCTCCCTCCCCCCCGTCGGGCCCCGCGCCCTCCGTCCCTACTCCCTCCGCCCCAAGGGGCACTGCGCCCTCTGCATCCGGTGCCCGCGCCCCCGCCCCCTCCTCCCCTCCCGGCCCCGCGGCCCCCACCCGCAACTCCTCCTCCCCGTGGGGCTCTGAGCCTTTGGCGTCGGGTGTCCTCACCCCTGCCCCCTCCTCCCCGCGGTGCCCCGCGCTCCCCGCCCGCGCCCCCGCCCCCTCCTCCCCGCCAGGATCTGTGCCCTCCGCCCCTGCCCCCTCCTCCCCAAGGGGCGCTGCGCCCCCCGACCCCTGCCCCTCTTCCCCGCCGCTGGGCTCTGCGCCTTTGGCGTCAGGTGCCCCCGCCCCCGCCCCCTCCTCCCCAAGGGGCGCTGCGCCCTCCTCCGCCCCCCGCTCCCCGCCGGGCCCCTCCCCCTCCTCCCCCGCGCCCTCCGCCCGCCGCCCGGGCCGGTGCTCCCCTCCGTGCCAGGTGTCCGTGCCAGCCGCGCCCGGCGGGGAGGCGCCCTCCTTGGCCCCTGCCTGCCCCTCCGCGGGCCTCAAATCCGCCACCGCCTGCGTCTCGGGTGCGGCCAGGCCTGCCGCCCGCCCTCCGGCCTGGAGTCCTCCCCGGGGGCTCCCGCCGCGCCCCGGGCCCCCCGCGCCCAGCACGGTGTCCGCAGCGCGCCCTGCGTCCTGGCCCGGGGCCCCGGACTGAGCGCCTCCGCTCAGCCCGCCCCCCGCCGTAGGGCCCCCCGCCGAGACGCCCCGTGGGGCCCCCGCGCTGAGCCCCGCTCCTTGCGGCGGGTGCGAGGGGCCCGCCAGGCCTTCGGGCCCCGGGGCCTGTCCCGCTCCCGCCCGAGCTCCTGGCCCGCTCCGGGTCGGGGCGCGCTCCGGGTCGGCGTCCTGCCGCGGGTCGGCCTCGGGCCCCCCCGGGAGCAGCTCTGCTCTGCCTCCGCGCCGCGCGCCCCCGGCTTCGCTGGGCGTCTCCCCTCCGTCCCGCGGCCGCGCCCCTGCAGGCGCCCCTGCGCTCGCGGCCCCCGGCCCCCGCCTCCCCGCGCCGCCTCCCGGGGGCCCCGCGGGGGCTCGGCCCTCGCCGTCCCGCTCCGCGTCCCTCGGGGAGCCTGGCGCCTCTTCCCCAGCCCTCGCTTCCTCCCCGGAGCCCTGCTCCTCCCCGTCAAGCCCCTGCGCTCCCGGGAGGTCGCGGCCCCGGCCCCCGCGGGCAGCTGCCCTGGGGGCGCCTTGCGGGGCGGAGGTGCTGCTGGCCGGTCCCCCGCTCGCCCCCGGAGCCGCTGGCCGCCCAGCTCCCGCGCGCCCCGCCGCCCCCGGTTCCTCGGCGCCCGCGGTCCCAGCCCCCCGGGCCTCAGCCTCCCCCTCCTGCGTCTGCAGCTCCGGGGGCCGCAAGGCCGGCTCTTGGGGAGCCTCCCCTCCCCCCGCACCTCCGCGGGGCGCTTGGGCAGCCCCTTCTCCCCCGGGGCCTAGCTCCTCTGTAGCCGGCCTGGGATCCCCTGGTGCTCGGGCCGCAGGTGCTGGGCCCCGAGGGCTGGCCCTTCCCTCTGCCCGCTGTCCCCCCCGCAGCGGCCGGGGGCTTCTGCGCCCCCCGGGGGGCCTCCCCGACCCCTGCTCCCCCCCGCAGTGCTGCCTCCTCCTCCTCTTCCGTCGCGGTCCCATCAGCATCCCGGTGAGCATCCCGGTGAGCATCCCGGTGAGCATCCCGATGAGCATCCCTGCGCGGCGCCGGCGCCTCTTCCTCGGCCGCTGCTTCCTTCCCCAGTGGGGACGCGTCCCATGCGCCTGCCTCGGACCCCGTGCTTGAGTGCAGCGGCGCCCCGGCCTCCAACCCGAAAGTCCTGTCGGGTGCTACAAAATGAGGTCGGAAAGCGGGGTTACTTAGGCCAAAGCCCGCGGGGAGGGGAGGGGGGATGCTCTGTGTAACCCCCTATGGGGCACGTGCGCTATCAAGCTGCTGATGCTATGCACCCAGCAAGGCCTCGACTGACGCCATCGCCTCCAACAGCACCATGGTCCAATAATGGCCTTCGTGATGAAAAGAGGGGCCCTCAATTTAACGGACGCCTATTAAAGGAAAACTGAACATCAGAACCCTCAGAAACAAAATCTCCACATCTTACTTTCCCCCCCTTTCTCTCTCTCTCTCTCTCTCTCTCTCACACACACACACACACACACACACACTGCCTACTTTCATTTGAAATATTAGGACTTGCAGAAAAAAATTATATAATAAAAAGACCCAGTGTTTCATCTTCTTAGAAATCGCCGCGCCCTATAGCATCACAGTGCGTGCGGCCTCAGCCTGTGCTGCTCGCACCTGTGGGCACAGTCAGCCGCACACCCACAATGCGGTGGGAGCTGATTATTACCCGACCCATTACTCCCACATGGTAAAGCTGCTCTACCTAGATTTAGTCATCAAATAACTTCGTAGCTCAAGGTAAGACTTTTCACTAAAGACACCAATTTGTATCCCAGGTCAGGATACCTCCGGTCTGTGTTCAGAAACCGTTTTTGCCCTTGGCAAAACAGGATCACAGAACAAGACAGGACTTTGTAGTCTGGGACAAATTTCAACATAAATAACCTTCTTGAAGTATTTCCTAAGTTCTCATCTCTAATTCCCTGGCAAATCTGGGTGTCCTAGTCACCGTACTTTAATAAATCTAAGTTCAATATGTTTCTCAAGCCTCAAATGCATTTCTTATTATTTAACAAATACATGCATTTCCGGTGAAGTGACCTGTGCAAAATAAGTAAAAGGATGTCATGTCAAATACCCAAGCATTTAGATTTTCCAACTGGAGAATAATACTTAGGGAGATGGGAACTCCTAAACTGGCCGTCTTAATAATTCCCCTATCAAATGAATCTTTCTCACTTATCGAAGATGCTAGACGTTACCGTACCAGTGTGCCAACCTCCAAATTATGGAAATTTATCCAATAGGCAAATGTGTCTTCCTCGTATTTTTTATTGCCCATCTTTTTGGCCAGCCTCACCCTCTGCCTCATTACCAAGGACCTACCAGAAACCTAAAGCCCCGGTCCTACTCACGTCCCCCCTGTCCTGATACCCCATCCAGGACCGTCTCCTCACTGCATTTCCCCTCCTCCCACAAACCAGAGCTGCCCTTTGTTGCATCCCCTTGGTCTTTGCCAGCTATCACAATAAACCGTTTGTGAAGTAAGGCAGTAATAGCTGATATTCCATTTCCCCTAACAAATATACTTGGAAGGTAACTTTTGATGACTTCTTCCAAAGAGGTAACAGAAATTTCAGGCCTATCAATAAGGTGAGTGTTGACTTTTATATGTGGTCCTCTGCATATCACAGCAGTTATTTACTAAATTGTTCCTACAAGCTGCCAGAGGGAAAGGTAGAGCCAAATGTTCATTCAGGGAACATGTAGCCAATTCACCTGAAAGAATTTTATTTCATTATTCGTATTTCACTTCATCGGTCCACAGTATCTCATTACGGATTATTACTGGGTTTAAAACAAAATTAAATTACAGCAATGTCAAGTCTCTTTAATAGTATATGTGTTGCTATTCAAATTCCTGCATAAAAGTATATTAAAAAGTCAGTTATGAAAAACATTTAAATAAAGTCCTCTGTTTTGCTAAGCTGGCCCTTAAATTTATGGATTAATTAAAGAACATTAAGGAAAATGGAATAAAACTGCCTACCCACCATATAATATATACTGTGCCTAAATTCTAGGAGAGAAGGGGCCAATGGCGTCCAGCTGAGCTATTATAGGAACACACACGCCACGGGGGAGTCAGACGTTCCCGAAGTAAGGGGGAGGAGTAATGGAACCTTTCTCAGAAGTATGAGTATGAAACATGACATGTTTTTTTTTTTATCATAACTATGGGCTTTTGCAGGCAGGAAATGAATCTAAGACAGCAAGCGACGGGTGCCTGGGTGGCTCGGTCAGTTGAGCATCTGCCTTCCCTCAGGTCTTGATCTCAGGGTCGTGGGATCGAGTCCTGCAGCAGGCTCCCTGCTCAGTAGAGTCTGCTTCTCCCTCTCCCTCTGCCCCTACCCCTACTCATGCTCCCTCACTCTCTCTCTCTCTCAAATAAATAAATAAATAAATAAAAATTTAAAAAAGCAGCAAGTGGTATTCACAACTGGAGGCAATTTGGTTGGGTGAAGTGAGTGTGTACTTAGGGGTCAGACGGAGCTGGATGAACTTGGGAAACAACACCTCTCTGAGCCTTCATTCTTTTATCGGTAAAATGGGGACAGAAATGCTTGACTCACACAATCCTTGTGATAGTAAACCACAAAATGCTTCGCACAGTCCCTGGCACATAGAAGGCCCTGGCAAGTCTTTCTTCCATACCTCCCTTCTGCTGTTTACCATAAATGATATGTTCTTGATTGAATCAGATTTCGTCAGTAACAACTACTATGCGGGCATTGCAGAATGTTCGGGAGCTACACTGGAGCTCCTCCGGTGGAACGCTCACCACAGAAGATTTGGATTCCCTAAGCAGTCAGGCTCCCCCTCCCATAACTCGTCTGTCTACTTCACGTTCAAGTGCCACCGGGCCCTCTCCACACTGCCCAGGGGGAGCTCGAGCTCAGGGAGCCGGCCTAAGTACATAGATTCTGGCTCCTATTTGTTGTAACAACAAGTCCTTTTTCTCTGACCCAGGAGTCTTGTGTCTTCTGCTCAGACTATGAAACTGTGGATGGCAACCTTGTTTGCTTGAAAACAAGGTAAAATCTCAAATACCTCACAGCGTTTAATGACTGTCATTAAAAATTAGAGGTAGGGGTAATGCAACCATATGAAGAACAAAATGAATACCCCCCCCATATACACACACATATATTTAAATCAGGGCAGTTTTGAAAATCCCTCTACTAAATATGGGGAAACCTGATTTATAGAACACAGGGTGTTGGACCCGATGTGTATGAGTCATGGTCTGCTGAGTCACTCTAACTGGCAATCTTGCAGCTGGAATACTCATCACCAAGAGCCAGGTCATATGCTGATGGCAGTGAATTCTTCCCTAATTTTAAAAAATAATAATAATGAGTTCAAATAAACCATTGTGAAATATGCCTTGGCTCTCCCTGTCTCCAGGGGGTCAGTTAGGCAGATCCTCCCACATATTCAACTAACTGGGTGACCGCCGATGAGATGAGACTGATCTGAAAATCCCCATCAATATTTCTTTTATACTCTAAAGTCCCTTTTTTGCCTCCAATCTAGGCATTAATATATTCAAAAAAGAATAATAACATTCATATCTGATGTCAGCTTCAAAGCTCCCCATAAGGCCTCTCAAGCACCTCCTGCCATCAAAGTCATTAGCTGAAAAGAAAATAAAGGTGGAAGGAGGAGGAAACAAGGGTGGGAAGATGGAAGATGGAAACGGGGCTGTCTTTTGCAGAGGATTTCTAAAGGTCTTCCCGAGGTAGTGACGTGCCCTTACCTGCACCTGCGTCAATCTCCGGCTTCCCCGAGTGCTTCTCCTCTTCTGTGCTGCTAACACCAGACTCGGTGTCATAGTGGCAGCGGCAGCCAGGTTCCACAGCTCCAGCTGCAATCTGTCCAACTGATTGGAGATCATATAAAATATCAAAAGGCATAAAAACAGGTCATGGGAACATTGCTGAGCTATTTCACATCACGTCAGCAAGCGGGGTTAATTTTAAAGTATTCACATTAAGATGTGACCTTGTTTTTAAAATCGGTTAAGATTAAATCGCTTCCAAGCCGTGATTTCAAAAAGGCAGACACAATGGGAGATCATGAAGTAAAGAGATCCATGCAAAGAAATACTTTTAAAAGACAACAGCCAGAAGCAGTGACAGATTAGCCAAAGCACATGCAATGAAATGCCTGAAAACGAGGCTTAGTTGCCTTTTCCTTTCTAGAAACACGCGTTACAGCTTTCATGACGCCAGTCATCCCATCCCTGCTTTTTGAGATTGTTAAAACCACCAGAGCTGACTATACTATGAGCATTTCATCCATTAGTACATTTTGGTGATTCGAACCCACTACTCACGCCGAGTGGACGGAGGAAAAAAGTGAGTGCGCGGTTCCTATACATTGGACAGTGAAAGCGGTTGTAGAAATTCCTCTTATCTGCAGTTGACAATCAGCCATGGAACTTGAGAAACACAATGACCTAAGTTCAGGTCCCGTACTCCACACTAACTGTGTCACCTTCAGTAAGTTCTTTGACCTAAGCCTAAGCCTCTGTTTACCCATCTCTCTTAAAAAGCTATCTACTCCTTGTTAAAAAAAAAAAAAAAAAGCTATCTACTCAGTGGTTATTGGAAGGATTAAGTAATACGCGTACAACATGGTCATCTTTCACTTATTAGCAGATGCCTACGCACTTGATAAACAATAGCTGTGACGATGATGAGCATGTTGATTAGAAGTAGTATCACCCAGTCTGGTATGACTATAGGCAACACTGTAACATCAATTAAATTTGTCTTTAATTTCTGACATGTCCCGCCTACATCCCTTACCCACTGTCTGATGATCCATGTGCCTCAATCTCTGACACCCACCATTTTTGCCACCTTCTGGTTAATTAAAGCTCATTTGAATAATGTAGACCCAGATCTGCCCTCCCAGATAAGAGTAGCTACAATAAAATACCCTTTCTTTTCTTCCTTCCTTCCCTCTCTCTCTCTTTTTTTTTTTCCTCTTTCCTTTCACATATTCTGATTCAGTTGATCCAAAGACTGTACTTGGAGAGAAGCAGAACCAGAATGTGATCTCTCGCTCACTGTAAGGTGAGTTGCTAAGGGGTAATTAGTTACTTACTGATCCATCTGTGTTTGGAAGCAAATAGTGAAATGTCTGCTTCATGTGGCTTTTGGGGGAAAAAATGGAAATGACTTAACTTTATTAATCTTAAGAGAAAAAAACATGGAAATGAAAAGAGGTACGTCAAATTGTTCAAATGTATACTTTGTGAACATCAATTTTCCTCATTCATCCAATAACCAAATAAAAAAAAAGACTTTTACAATAATATAGTTTAGAGATGACATCAACTCATGATAACTAGATTATCTTTGGGTTTGCTATCAAGTAAGCCTTTATTTTAGGAACTTTATAAACATCGTACATATAAGTTAAATCTCATCTTCCCCGCTGTAATAATGTTGTCAATATATAACTAGTGAGTTTGAATAAGCAGTGTTTTGGGTCCTTGTGTATAAATCTGCTTGGCTGATTGAGCAATAGAAATCCCAAAGACAACAGGACAGGGGGATGGGAGCAAATCTGATTTCACAGCAATTATTTGAAGTTTTGTTTCATCCGAGCCAATGAAACATCTGGGTTTTTTTTTTCTGAGTAGCCCATAGACTATAAGTAAATATGGTTTATTATACAGATATTGAATCATTGTTATACACTTAAAAAAATATCATGTACATCAATTATACCGCAATAAACTTTTTTAAAGAACTATAGTTTGCAATAATAATAACAAACAATAATTAAAATAAACAGTTAGCAGCTATTGAACCAAAGACCATTCTAAGAAGCCAAATGGTACTAGCATAATTTGGAAATTACAACTCACTCGGAATGGACAGTGAAGCCTGTAGTCCCTCTGTCTCAGGACTGTCATCACCACCTGGCCACGTCTGCTGGCTTGCCCCTGGAGGGTTAGGCTTTGGAAGTAGATGAAAAGGCTTTTGGAAGTAGATATACAGTTAGGTGTTGCCTGCTTCAGATTCAGCCAGACTGGGGCCCTGGCCTGAGCATCAAGCACTTATTAGGTACGAGACCAGAAAAGGCCTCACTTGGTCATTATTTTTCTCAGATGTTCTGAAACTAAAACTTAAAAGCAAGAACTTGGCCAGGGTCTAACCTTGAGGGTTTCCACCTACAGGAGAGGAGGATGGTGCCCGCTGAGCCCGGCGCCAGCAATGTGATGTGTCACTTTGTGTCCTTAACTACTTAGCCCTTCACCCCCTGAGGCCGCGCTCCTTCCCTCTCTATAAAGATGACCATTAAAAGCAAAGGTGGTTGTCAGTTCTCACAGTCTTCAAAGCAAAACGGAAGAGCCTCGCACACAGAATGTCTTAGATTGGTACCTTTTCCACTCCAATGATATGGAATATTCTAAGATGGTTTTTAAATACCAAAATATTATTATCTGATAATGTTAGCTTTTTAATTATGAAAACAAACATTTTAAAGTAATATATATATATATAGTGCATTCCCTAAATAGGGAAATAGTACAGATTCTTACCTAAAGCTTTTGAAGATTATAAAGTGCAAAAAAGAAAACAAAAGCATCTTATTTTCACCACTCAGAACTTACTGGTTAACATTTGGGTGAATCTCTACGTATCTTTTTCACTCTCCTCTTAGTATACATAGCATTTTGTACCCCATTCTACTCATTTAGCAATATATTGTGACTACTTCCACATATCATTAAATAAAAAATGATTCTTCAGTAACTACATAGGCTGTTCTAATAAGTTTTTACTAAAATTTGGTCAGCCAATTGCCTGATGTTGAATATTGAGTTATTTCCATTTATGTGTGTGTGTGTGTGTGAGAGAGAGAGAGAGAGAGAGATTATACAGCTATTTTAAATACTACTTATAATCATTTTTGCATTTTGTATTTTTTTGTATTTTTTTTTGTATTTTGTATTTTTTCTGACTATTCCCTTAGGGCAAATTACTGGAGAATTGCAGGTTTAAGGAGCTTATTTTTAGAAGCTTTTGAGATATATATATATATATATATATATACATCATATATATATGATATATATAATATACAGGATAATGTACAATGTCTATGATATATATATATATCTTCTTCAGAAAAAAATATATATATTCTTCAGAAAAAGGACGTATCAACGATTTCACCCGTAATGATGGAAGACTGTATATCCCTGTGCTTTTCCCACAACATCACAACTTCCACCAATTCTTTCTATAGTTGATAATTTCATAATTGAAAACTGGTGGCAAGGATAGTTTTCAATATTAGTAGGCAAGCTTTCTAAATTCCTTCCCTTTTTCCATGCTTGTTTTGAAACAAGACAAACTGACCCCATCTCGAATCCTACTAACGATCCCAAGCAGTTCAGTATCAGGAGAAAGCTGTGCCAAGGACCTCTCTTCTGAATTTCAGGAATGTAGGGAGCCTGGAAGGGCAGAGGAAAGGTCTATCCCAAGTTCCCAGTGACCTTGAACACCATGCATTTGATCTGATCACTCTGCGTGGAGCCAATGACCTTCCCAGCAAGTCCCCGTGACAAACTTCACGAGGAACACCGTCTACCTAGGCGGTGCAGACGCTCCTGCGTTACCCCCGGCGTGGACTCATGGCCCACGCAAATCCGGGACTGATTACAAACTCCAGCTGCAGGGAGCTAAAGTCTACCCTCCACACAGCACAGAATAGTGGACAATCATCTTTCTAAAACTTTCAGGTCATGTCATTTGTAGGCTCAGACCTTTCCAGCAGTTTCCTAGCTCAGAATAAAATCCTCTCTGTGGCCTACAGGTTCTCTCCCTCGGCCTCATCTTCCACCACTTTCTGGTTCTGCTGCTCTTTGCTGCTCGCACTGGCCTCCCTTCCAGATCCTTCACTCAGCAACTAAGCATCCGGTGTAGAGTCCTTGCATTTGCTCTTTCTCCCGCTTCCTGCACTCTTCCTTCAGAAGGCAGTGGCTCTTGACCACAGGGGGCAAGTGGGCCCCACACTTCCTTCGGGTCTGTGCTCAAACGTCCCCTCATCCGACAGGCCATCCCTAAAATACCACCCCTGCCTCAAACCGTGACTCTGTCCTCTTACCCCGATTTATTTTTCTCCTACACTTAGTCTGGAATACCCCACCCCCTGTTTATTTTTCACTTGTTAGGCCCATCTCTCCCTAGAACGCAGACTCCCACACAGGCAGGGGCTTCATGATGTTCACCCTCAGAACCAGGTAGCATAAAGCAGATAACCAGAAACTATTTCTTGGCCGAAATCACTACGTGCTTTCACGATTCACCCAGAAATTATATTCGGACTGCCACTCACAACACGTGATGGTCTGGTTCTCCCATCAGGGCCATCTGACTTGCCTGCCTGACGATGAAACCGCATAGGACTTGAGCCGCTACGTCACTCAGGTTCCTATGACCTGGCCAAGCACTCTGACGTCTTCTCCTTCACATATACACGATGTCTGCTCTCATAGACATTGTACGCTAACCCGTATATTATAATACTCTGTTCTTAATGTTTTATTCATATTCATAATGCATAAATTACATTAACTTCACAAATTAGTCTCCCTAAATTGTTCCACTGTTAGAGCATAAAGCAAAGATCGTGTCACAGGGCGTTAAGACAGCTTAAACGGAAATTAACAGAGAAAAATAAACACATTACAATCACACCATGTATGCCCTATCATACTGAACTCCCTCCCAAGGACACGGTCCCACTGCAGCCGGCAATTATAATCTACTTTATCCACTTCACCGCGTGCATCACATCTTTTGTATCAATGCACCTGGTGTGTGTCGGTGGACTGGACAAAGCCCAATTAAGTGAGACTTATTATAAAATACAAGGAAGGTATCACTTTATCAATCTGAAAGGTACAAAGGTATTGAATACAGAACTTTACTCCTTTATCCACTGCTATGATCTCAAGTGAAAACAATTCAGATGAAGTTGCATTAGTTTGGACGCTACGAAACATCATTAACGAAGTGTAATTTTCCGGCCCACAGACCTATTCCTAGCATAATCACAGTTCAGAATTCAGCACCGGACAGATATGAGAGATAATCTTCTACACATTATCTCAGCCACATTTTGACCTACGATTCTATCAGAGATCTAAGTAAAATAATACACATTTCACTCTTTACCGTGCCTGCTGACCTAATTTACATAAGCTGTGTTTTGCAGCAGGGTCACCTACATGACCTTCACTTCACTTTGGTTCCATCCCTCTCTCCCTTTGAGCCACGTAGCTGAAGACTCAATTAAGAAAAAGGACCTAGCCATAACCTCTTTGCTTGGAATCAGACAAGTCAAGACCTGGTTTAATTGATCTAAAATTTTCTCAGAAACATTTATTCATATAAAGGCTTTGAGACTACTTATGACTTCTCTTAATCTGTTATTTTAAATATTTACAAATTTGTTATCAGTTCCTTGAATATACTTAAAAAATCAGCACTCAAGAGTTATAATCTGTGTGGCGTTAATCCTTCTACATCAATCTGAACATTTTACATGTTTTTTTTTAAAAATCTGTTGTTTTATTTTCCACTGTACTTTTTTTTTAAGATTTTATTTATTTATTCATCAGAGACACAGACAGAGAGGCAGAGACCCAGGCAGAGGGAGAAGCAGGCTCCATGCAAGGAGCCCGACGTGGGACTCGATCCTGGGTCTCCAGGATCACACCTGAGTCCAAGGCAGACGCTCAACCACTGAGCCCCCCGGGTGCCCCTCCACTGTACTTTATTCCCTCTGCCTCTGGGCCTCCATCCATAACCCAGAAGTTTTGTTCTTTTGTAGAAGAAGAGTCATAGAACAAATCTATGAGTTCTCGCACAGAGAGCAACATATTTTTAAGAAAATTTGCAAAGTTATAAAATAGAGCAATAGCAATACTAAAGCAATACAGTGGAATACTAAGTACAGTAAATGAGAATAGAGTACAGTTGACAGGAAAAGGTATTGGAAGCTACAGAAATAAGTGAAAGAAAGGCGAGTTGTAAAAAAATGTATCATGTTTCCATCTGTCTATAAAAATAATATATATGTATATGTAGTATAGGAATACATTTATACAAGTGTGCAGAGAGGTTTTTCTGGAATCGAGCCTAAAAAATATTCTCCTCAGTTGTGATGCTGTTGTGTGGGGAAGAGTAGAGGTGGGGCAAGGAAGACTAGCTTTCTTTTCATTCTCTCTGTTCTGTATTGTTTAAACTTTTCAACCAATCCTTCGTAAGAAAAAAAAAATTATCTTAAGCCTTAAAACGTGATCTAGAAATTATACTCTTTGGAACATAGCCTAAGAAAATAATTATAGATTTTAAATTACCTTAGGTAACAGGATAACAGAGTACTATTAGTATAGTAATAGGGGAAATATAAATATCAATAATAGGGGAATGGTTCCATTATAAGAAAACCACAGAATGCGAACAACACACAGACATCGAACTTATTTATAAAGAGTACATAAGAACATAAAAGTGCTTATGGTATAACAATGAGAATAAAAAGCAGGACACAACATTCTATAAAAAATAGGATAACCTAACTTTTGTAAACACTAAGTGTAGAAATAAAAAAACCTGACCAAATGTCGAAGGGGATTTTCGTGTGTGGGCTAAATCTGTGGGGAATTTTTTTAAAAATCTACTCTTCTTTAGTTTCTGACTCCTAGTTCATGTTATGTTATAAGCTGTTAAAGAAACATAAACACGGGCAGCCCGGGGGGCTCAGCGGTTCAGCACCGCCTTCAGCCCAGGGCCTGATCCTAGAGACCCGGGATTGAGTCCCACGTCGTGCTCCCTGCATGGAGCCTGCTTCTCCTTCTGCCTGTGTCTCTGCCCCTCTTTCTCTGTGCCTCTCACGAATAAATAAATAAAATCTTAAAAAAAAAAAGAAACACTCACTAAAGATCTGGTACATTTATTAAAGCTTAAGAAAGATTAAAAAGTCACAAACCTTGTCTTCTAGTGTTGAACTTGCCTTAACAAAAAGATAACAGAATGCTTTAGAATTATAGATGTTATCAAGTCAAGAACATAGACGTCCCGTAATATAGAAGAAAAATGATAAACTTACGCACTTTTTATTTCACACATCCAGAAAAAAACCACCTCACTGTCTCCCAAGCGGCGGGATCCTAGTCCAATGCTTCTACTATTCCATCCATCACCTAAATACAGCCTACGTCACATGGATCTTACTTCACAAAAAGATGTCTATGTACACAAGTCCAGGTAAACAATCTAGTTTTCTGATGTGGAAGTAAAAGAAATAATAATGTCACTGTTACAACTGAACTTTAACATCTCTGCCTTTTTTGAGCAGCAGCTTGCCAAATCATACAAATTTCCTATATTGTACATGACATGTTCCAGAACTGAACAATAAGACCCAGGATCAAAGATTTGAATTAGGGACGTCTGGGTGGCTCAGTGGTTGACCGTCTGCCCTTGGCTCAAGGCGTGACCCCGGGGTCCTGGGATCGAGTCTCGCATTTGGCTCCCCATGGGGAGCCTGCTTCTCCCTCTGCCTGTGTCTCTGCCTCTCTCTCTGTGTCTCTTATGAATAAATAAATCTTTAAAAAAAGACTTTATTTATTTTATAAATGGGTTTCTAATGTATTTTAACAAGAAACTTAACTCATGTATGGAAAAATCACTTGGACAAATCTCAGAGGTCTTTAATCCCAGAGCAGAAGTTGGCAAACTTTTTCTATTACGGGTCAGATAGTGAATTCTCAGGGCTTTGTGAGCTACAAGGTCTCTGCTGCAAACACTCAACTCTGCCCTTGCAAGACAAAAGCGATCATTAATATAATATGTAAACAAATGAGCATGGCTCCGTTCCAGTAAAACTTTATTTCCTGACACTGAAATTTGAATTTAATTTGTTCACATCACCACATATTATTCTTTTGATTTGAAGGAATTAATAATATAGATAAACCATTAGCCAGCCTTATTAAAAAGAAGAGAGAGAAGACTCAAACTGATTTTTCAAATCATTAAAAAAATTTGAAAAACAACAAATTTCAAAAACATTCTTAGCTCACAGGCAAGGAGGAAGGAGGAGAAGGAGAAGAAGGAAGAAGAAGAAAAGAAGAAGAAGAAGAAGAAGAAGAAGAAGAAGAAGAAGAAGAAGAAGGAAGAAGAAGAAGAAGAAGAAGAAGAAGAAGAAGAAGAAGAAGAAAAGAGAAAGAAAGGAAGGAAGGAAGGAAGGAAGGAAGGAAGGAAGGAAGGAAGGAAGGAAAGGAGGCAGGCCAGATTGTGCCAGTGGGTCAGAGTTTGTCAAAGTGTGCGTTCCATCTTTTAAGGTCCTAAAAAAAAAAATAAAGTTAGAGACATTAAAAGTATTCCTAAGTTTTAAAACAAATGATTTTAGAATATTAAATTGTGAAAACAGATTTTATCTTGGCATCAAGAATGCCCGCAGTATCGGCAGGGGAGACCGATGAGAGAGAACAGGGAAAGGACACGAGTTACAGGGTACAGGATGCTATGTGAGAGCCAAATGTCTGGCAGGCATGGCTGTCCACAGGGCACAACACGGTCCTTTAACCGTCCCCCTAAAGTTGAGAAACGCATCAGACCTTCCACTCGTCTAAGGTCCTGCAACCTTGCAGGACACTCTTCATCTGCCCGTGTCAAAAGGAACTGTCCTGCATACTCACCCAGGGACCACTGGGTCAGGAGGTCACTCAGTTTCAGAGAAGAACTCAAAGTCAAGTTGGGAGTTTTCTATGAAACTGTCATATTTTTATCTAAATTAAAATTCCCATTGCCCAGATACAATAGAAAATCTTTAAAGACTGGCGCCGCCCTGCTCGAACTCAAATCCTACGGATGCTTCTCATGAGCTATATAATCTAGACAACTTACGGAAACTCTCTGAGCCACAATTTTGTTGCCTGAGAAAAAAAGACATGATGATAATAGAGCCTAACTCAGGGGATTTGGGGCTCATGTAAGGAGTTGATGAGTTACTTATGCAAGTGTTTCAAACTGGCACATAGTAGGCAGCTACCCACGTTAGCTATGTAGGCAAGTGTGTGTGTGTGTGTGTGTGTGTGTACACAGAAGTGTGTATAAAGCTAAGAACAATTACTATTTCTAGTATCAATAACCTCTAAAAAGCCACACATACCCTTGCCTTCAGACACATATTGGGTTTTATTTGATTCTTGAGATAGAATGACCACAAGAAGGAATTTACAGAAAATAGGAAACCAGCTATGTAAGATTTATCAAGTAACTTTTAAAATGCAATAGAAGGAAAAACAGCAAGCTGAAAGTACATGTATGATTACGTGACGAAGAGAGAAATAAAAAATTTGAATGCCTCTGGCATTATCACAACAGTATTTCCCAAGCTTTGGCAGAAATGCAAGGACCAAAATCAGCTTCCATGCATGGGAACAATGGCAGGTCAACTCAATGGCCATACTTACCATCTTTTTCCACCCTATGGGGACCTGCCTTTTTGTCCTTCACCTCAGCAGTGCTTCCTTCCCAAAGCTTACTTTGATCCTTTTCTTTTTCTTCCTTGGAAACATGTTCCTTGGACTTCTCAGATAAGCCCTCTGCAATCCCTGGGGTCCCTTCCTCTGGTTCTGCTTCAGGAACATTCTCCAAGTGTTCCTCTATTGGCAAAGGCTTGGTGGCTACATCTGCTGTTATTATTTCTTGATCTTCAATTTCAACTTCTAAGTAATCCTCCGTTGGAAGGTGGGATTTTCCTGCCTCATCATTTTCACTCAACTCCTGAGAAGAGGAACTTCTGGCACTTTTGTCTGGGCTATTTTCAGAGTGGGCTTCCCCATCCCCAAGTGCAGATTCATCTTCACTGCAGCTAGAACATGGGTGACTTCTGGAGGAGGAGGAGGATGAAACAGTTTTTACATCTAAAAAACAAAACATGATGACATCATTGTTTTCCCATAAAGCAACTGGTTTGATTGTGGGAGGTATGTTAGCAATAATCACACTTAAAAGTTTTCGTATCGGTTAATAGGTTCGATGCCCTTTTCACATCCATTGCACATAACTGTCAAGATAAAGAAAACCCTATGTAATCTGTGAGTCTCTAGAAGTTTTCTTTTTTTTTTAATTTTTTATAGACTTTATTTATTTTTTTTTAATTTTTTATTTATTTATGATAGGCACACAGTGAGAGAGAGAGAGGCAGAGACACAGGCAGAGGGAGAAGCAGGCTCCATGCACCGGGAGCCCGACGTGGGATTCGATCCCGGGTCTCCAGGATCGTGCCCTGGGCCAAAGGCAGGCGCTAAACCGCTGCGCCACCCAGGGATCCCTCTAGAAGTTTTCAATAGGAAGTCACTTTTAACTAAAAACCAGCTGTATTTGTTTATTGATTTTTTAAAAGCCATTTTATTGGAAAACCTTCATCTCTTATTGTAGAAGAAACAGGATACTCTTACTTGTTCAGTGAGACTACTTATTTCATTTTCATCTTGGGTAGCCACAGTCTTCTCTGTGCATACAATTTAAATTTTTATCCACTGTAACACCAACCATACCCAGCTAGCAAGGTGTCCTAGAAAGATCGATGCACTTACATAACATCTTGACACTTTAAAGATATTTTTGAGGTGATGTTTGTTGAGCGTGTGTATGTGTGTGTGTGAAGGAGGACATGTTGTCTTATTTCGGGTTCCCCCAAAACAGACACGGAGGTCAGGATTCATGTGCAAGGAAGGTATTAAGGGTCTGCTCCAGGAGAAACTCTCACAGCTGTGGGGGAAGCAGGGCAGGGAGAGGAAGAAATCAGTGAAGGGAGCTCCTTCAAGCAACACCTCGACCTCAGTCTGATCCCACAGGGACCTCTGAGGTCTGAATGATAGTAGGGTTTTTCCTCCCTCGAGGAAGGAGTGGGGCTTTCATACTCTGCTCCAGTCAGACACAATGACCGCCTCCCCCCCCCAGGGTAGGCCAACACCTCTTGGTGCCTGGGGACGAAGCAGCTCTGTAGCCCAGGGCTGCCTTCAAGAAGGCAGGCGGAGCTGGAGCTGGGAGGTAGACACATGGCATCATACAAGGGCTTCTAGAAGACGGCGTGCCCCGCTGATGGGAGGCCACAGATCTGCAGACCAGAAGCCTAAGCCTACCCCAGCCCAAAATGGTTTGGTACTTACCACCCAAAAGCCCTTTCAAAAACCTCCAAGAGAGCAACATCCAGGCCGAATCTCTGGAAGGAAGATGCGTGGCCTGAAAACCACGGCGTAGATGTGACCCCGAGAGATACGAACCTGCTTTGGAGCTTTCTAACCAATACATAGTTTTTTTATGGAATATAGGTTCAGAGGAAACATCCCACACCTAAACGCTGCCTCGTTTTCTTGTTTTCTCTTCTCTGTGTGCCCCTTACTCTTTTCTCGGTTTCTTTGATTCCTTTTATTTCTGGCGGGAGCAGCTTGATACAGACTTTCAGGGAAGAAATACCTTTTCCTCTTATCCTTTTCCTTCATGCCCTCCAGCCCAAATGACTCTCCATGACAGGGCTTAGAATTTTAAGAAGAGTCACAGAGACTTATCAGAGTTTCCGCAAAGATTTGAGAGATGCTACACAGCAGTTAAACAAACAAACAAACAAACAAACAAACAAAAACCTCTAAAAGGCCTTTAAGCAACAGAACCCCTTAAGTGCAATTCCATTTGTTTTTATCTCCCAACTACCTTGGCAGGCACCAGATGACCACTGTTTCTAAAAGGAACACACACTTTAACTACTCATTCTTTATCTCCATTTTATAAAAACTCAATAGACTGTCTCTCACCGGGAACACAGCAGAGATCAAGGACAGTTGTTCTCTATCTTATTTGTGTCACTCCAGAAACTTTAGTGACTATGAGCTCACCCTGTCTTAAGCATCTCATAATCTTTTTAAAGAAAAACAACTCCTACTTGCTAGTTGTCCAAGCAATGGCTCTCATTAATTGCACAGTTAGCTAAAACGCATTATCATACTTGTTCTGCACTTCCAAAAATTTTTTTTTCCAAAAATTTTCATATCTACCATCTTTAATGTCGATATAATGACTCACTTTTGGCTCTGAGAGTTGTTCACACACTAAAAAAAAAAAATGAGTTTTCCTCTACCTTTCTTTCGTAGCGTCTATTAATTGCGTTATTTTATTTCAAAAGGCTGAAACACGCTCTGGTTCATTTTGATTCAGGCCCTTAGAGAAGAAAGATCAGAAGAATGAATGGCCTTCAAGAGGCAAGGGTACCTGACCTCCCATATAAACTCATTTCAGTTTTCCAATTTCTAACTTCGCTGTACAATTTAGTTTCCTTCTCATTTCTTTCTCTCATTTTCATGCAGACACTGGGGCAAGACTTTGCCTACAAATGAAAGCTCAAAATGTTCCAGGGCCATGGAATGGGATTTTCGACACTAATTTTATTTATTGTCTTAGAAACGAAGCAAGTTTTTAGATAGAAGTTTTGTCTAAAAGAGCATTTTATATAAAAGAAATTGGAGGGCACATATGTAATTTCTGTCTGTTTTTAGGAGGGAAAAAGCTATATTGAAGGCATTGTTGGTAGGCAACTCTGGCTCCCACCCAATTCTGTTTTTCTCTCCAGGGCTCCCTGCAGGTATCGAAGCTTAAGGAATCTGCTCTTGGTCTTTATGGTAAAGGAATGATGTGCACTCATCGGTGTGGTGCCACGATTCCATGCCCTAAGCGGGACCTCTGACTTTCCGCCCTGCACATTCAATCAGGCTCCAAACCCTTAACTGTCTTCTCTTTCCATGTCACCTCCTCCTTTTGCACGACTACTGTTTCACACAACAGGAGACTGAGAGAAAATAATATGTTCTCTGTAAGATAAAACTAGGTGTTTCAATCATGACTCAGCTACTTAATAGCTTTGACTTTGGCTATCCCGCTTAACCTCTCTAGCCTATTTTCTTGACTATAAAATGGGGCTGATTCTCTCTGTAAGTCATTGACACAAAATTAGCATAATCAAATCAAATAATGGTTTCTTTATGAATTCCAGTCTTTCCCCCTCTATGAAATCATACATGATAAGTGTGGTCTAATACATTTATTTCTTGTCATTTCCCCCTGCACACTATATGAAGAATCGTAATGCAGTGACATTTTGCTGAGGAAAAAAAGAAAAAGATAAAAATAAAAAGATGTTTCCGCATGTACCTACTTGTACCAAACAATGAGGTAAGCACTTTACAATCATCTCATTTAATCCCATGGAATAGCTATCTTCTTTTTCTAGGTCTAGTAAATAAGGGGGGACACCTGGGTGGCTCAGGTGACTGGTTTTTGGTTCCGGCCATGGCCATGATCTCAGGGTCGTGAGATTGAGCCCCGTGACAGGCTCATGGCAGAGTCGACTTGGAATTCTCTATCTCTCTCTCTCCATCTGCCCCTCCCCCTGCTCACATTTACTTGCATGCTCTCTCTAACATAAATTAATTAATTACCTTAAGTTTAAAAAGAAAGCTAAGTGCAGAGAAGTTAAATAATACCCAATGTCCATTAGCTATAAAGCACCAAGTTTTGTAAGACTTTTTTTTTTTTTTTTGGTAATGACCCATTATAGTAAAACCAAGACCACTCTACTTGCCAGAAGGCCTTCAAACAAGGAGCACCTGCTGTCATGGATTTACCATTGCTTCTCTTAACTAACTTTGTGCTGTTACCACCCCAAGGTGACAAATGGAAGATAGTTCTCTCAAAACACCAGAACTCATGGAATTCAGCCTCGCCCCCCTTTTATATCCCTAATGGTCATTCTCCATTTCAGCATCTATGTATATCTCTGGAATCTCTACTGCTTATACTACCTGCCTGGCTAAGTTGCTACACGCCTGGCCAAGGATGCCAACCGCTCACACATCCATAGCCAACACCACATTCAGGAGGAACTCTGCTCCTTTCTCTCATAACTGAGGTTCTAAGCTGTTTTCCACCTTTCTACCCACGTCCATAGGTCTGTTCATTAAATGCACACTGAGCACCTCCTCTCTGTGAGGCTATGTGCTAGGTTTTAAGGACACAGTAGAGGAAAAGGCAGGCCAGGCCCTGCTTCCACAGAGATGACACACTCTAGCCAGACACCCCCTCCTTCTGCATGAGCACAGTAGATCATCTGTACGTGTCCACTCAGATGTTTGTTCCCTCTCCTTCCAGTGACCAAGGAGAGCCCTCTCAGGAGCTGCTGTCATGCCCTTACTGCAATCAGTAGCTATATTGTCTGTTTTGAACCAATTATAAGTCCTGACCTTAGTTTTCTATCATTTCCTCACTCTCTAGCACAGAGTATGATTTTACTATAGTTTAAATTCTCCATTTTCTCCCTTAGGGTCCTGATTTTAGCTGCTTTGTTTTGGATTCACGACCTTGAAGCCTCATGGACACTTTAAGTGCACACACTCAGTACAAGTATGTAAATTCAGTGAAACATGACTAGCTTTCACCCCAATAACTACCACTCATCCCAACCCAGTGGATACAATACTCTTCTGAACTCTAACACAAACTGCTTCTCTCTCCCATTCTTTAGTCTCAGGGTTCACAGCAAAATCTGTGCGGATGCTGCTCCTATTGTCTTCGAATTGGCCATGACACATGAATTCACACATCCTACTGTTACTCATATTAACAGTTCTATCTTGATTATACTCGCAAACTCATCAAAATCTGTTTATACTTTATATTAGATACAGTGGCTTGGTCAATATTTTCATGTATGTCTAATAAATTTTCTAACAATATTTCATATATTGTCTAATGATGCCTAATTAGACAAGCACTTCATACTCATAAATATTATAGAATCAATGTATGCTTAATGAAAATAGAAGTAGAAATCATTAAATTCCAGCTATAAACAGTAACTAGTTTTTTGCCTTAAGGGGGAGCATATGTCCTCACACTGATAATTCATGACTCAATTCATCAATGAGACTAAGACGCATATCTTTTTGTAAGAATAAACATGTACAGGTAAATGCAGCTCTAGCGAGAAGAAACGAAAAAACTGAGAAAAGCTTAAAAATTCCTCCATATGTACCTTTAATTACACTTTTTTAAACATTAAAATGAATACTTAAAATTCCGGGAATATAACCAAATTCTGTGTCGTACTGTGCTGCCTAAGTCCTTTTACATTTATCCATTAAGATTAAGATTTTAGGGGTGCCTGGGTTGCTCAATGGGTTAAGCATCTGCCTTCAGCTCAGGTCCTGATTCCGGGGTCCTGAGATCGAGCCCCACATTGGGCTCTCTGCTCAGTGCAGAGCCTGCTTCTCCCTTTGCGTCTGCAGCAACCCCTGCTTGTGCTCTCTCTCTCTCTGTCAAATAAATAAATAAAATCTTTCAAAAAAACCTTAATCAAGATTTTATTGGGTGTCTCAATAATGCCTTTGTTGTGTACAAGGCAGATTCAAAACTGTACAGAAATACCTCATAGGAAGGTATTTTATTTGGACTAAAAGATGATCCTGTATTTAAATACTCACCTGAAAGCCATGATTTCCTACTTGCACAATCAAAATGTGAATATGGATTGAGGAATCCTTACCATTCAGAAAAATTAGTTTGACTAATCATGAAAAAAAAATCACACATACAGACTGACCTGAAGGCCATCTACACTCGTCCCCTAATCCTCTCTGTCCAAGCAGCAGTCAGGTTACACTCAAGTCCACACAGTGTGGCTTCACAGCATCTATAATTTCAGGACGGAAGGGGCAGCCTTCCTTCACAAGCTTCTCTTTGATAGGCCAAGAAATGAAGAGTGAGATTCTTGAAGTCAATAAGTCAAGTAAATAGAGTATTTTTTTGTGACTCTGGAATTTTAAGTCTTAAGGCCTATTCCTTCAACAGACTGGAAAATAGCACAAATGAAATATTATCTTTCTTCCTTGAAAAAGCATTTGCTTTCATTCTTCTATTCTATTCTTTGCAATTCTGGGAAGAGATTCTCTCTCTCTCAACTCTTTCTCATAAGAAGCTATTGATTCTTTATCTCTTACTCATAAGCATTATCATCCAAACTGTCCATAAAAGTATAAAAGTATATTCTCAGCGACATGACATTTTTCCCCTCAACCTTCTAACATTCATCTATGACAATATATTTTCAACTAGTGAATTAGCGCCTGGGGTTGCCAACACAAATGCAGAGAAAAGGAAGCTGTCATTCTTTTTAAACGATGGAAAGTCTCACGCATCATCCCTAAACCTGGATGCTCTCCTAGTGGCTCTTGGTCTCAAGCACTCATCACTCATGGGCTGCTCAGCACAGAGCATTCATCAAGGCGGGCCCACGCAATTGTTAGCTGGCAGTTTAAATGGGGCCGACTTGTCACCAGAGTGACAGCCTGGGCAATTGTTTGCCCTCTGGGAACAGGTGCAGGCAGGTTCAAATGAAACACATCCAAATACTAACAGCAAGATTCTTAATCATGTCAATAAAAAGGATGAACTGGTGTCTCAGATTCAGTGGTCACAATATGCCTCTTACACTTTTGAAGATGAAATGCAGTCTGGCTTTGTAATAGAGTGTTCCAAGGAATCTATTGTGTCATTATCATTTTTAATACATGCTACTTTGTTTGCTGGGTGCAATCTCTAATTCAGATACTCCACATGCTAAAAGGAATGTTTCTGAATAACACAGAGCCAGGTTATCAAAATCAAAGGATGGGAAATAAAAGAGCTGGGAGGTAGAGGAAAGAAACAGTAATATGCAATGAGATTTTATCTCAAAATAATGGCAAAGTTTTTAATGTAAATACCGAAAAAGGAAAAGAGCTCTTAAAAAGGATAGATTAATGATATCATTATTGAAACAACAAAATGAAAGTTGGCAAATTTAACTTTTGGCTCTAAAATTTCCCACTTGTGGGCTCGATTTTATATGTTCTGGTAGCTTTCATTACATATCTCTTCAAAAATATTAGGTATCCTGTGCCTAATAATGCAGGTGACTGTGTACAATATTTTCCAATAAAATTCCAAAAGCATAAATTGTAAATGTAACTAGATATCATGACTAACAAAAGCACCTTTGTATCCTTGGTGTTAAAAAAATCAAGTAATTGCATAATATTTACAAAATATCTTTTAGGAAATCACCTTTGTGAGGAATAACAAACACAACATACAGTCTTAGCTTTCATAGCGTAACAATTGCGTGTTATTAACTTGTGTGATTAATTTGAGGGGTAAAGTTTAACATATAAAACTCTAAGAGAATAATGAATTACTTAATGATAAGAGTTTCTTTAAATAAAGAGCTCAGTGAAAGCTGCCAAGGTAGGAGAGTCTTGGAAGAGGAGGGGCCTCAGCTGGAACGGAGCTAAAGGCCCCAGAGAGGACAGGGAGGTCCATCCGGGGAAGAGAAGGGTCAATATCAGTAAAGGAGAAAATGTCCATTTTAATCTCCGCTGCTCAAAAACAAAACAAAAAGCAGAGGCCAGACAAGAAGACGAGGAGGCTGAAGATAAGTGCCTCTAAAATGTATAGTCTTAAGGAAGCAGAATCCTTTTAGTGGGGGAATTTGTTTTACTTTTAGGTAAATAGGTATCTTCTCATTTGGAAAAATGTTCTAGAGTTTCTCCAAAATCCAGGCTCTGACGCTGGGTGATGTTTATGTCTTGGCTCCTCTGCTTTCTGGCTGCGTGCGTTACTTAATCCCACCATATCCAAGTTTATTCATTTGTAAAATGGAGATAAAAAGAAAAAGCACTTGCTTTTTAAGATTGTGTGAGAGAAATCAGGTAATTCATGTAAATATTTAGCACAGTGCTTAGTACAGAGTCTTCATAAGCAATACCCTTTGGATGCCTTTCCAAACATAGGATTCCAATTATTTATATGCAAGCAGTTTTCAGTGTTAAAGCTTACCTATCTCTGTTGGCTAGTCAATAATTACAGGTCTAAGTGATTAAAGCTTTCCCTCCAAGGAAGATCCAAGTACTGCCTACATCCCTTTCTGTTTGAACATAAAAAATTATTCTGTTTTAGAAAAAAATCCATCTGATCCCCAAAAAACACAATGATTATGCAGCACAAAACTAATCCCAGATGACCAAATAGTAAAAGAACGTACTACTGAATCTTCATGAAATCAACACTTGTTCATTCCCCACCATTTCTTTCATTAAAGAAATGAAAAATTGAGTTCCCTGTGTTTTGAGCCAGTTCTATTTACATGCAAACACATTTTCTATTCTTTTCCAGGTTCAAGTCACTCATATAATTTCTTTATAATTTGATTCATGTGCTGTCACTTTTCCATAGAATTCTTTAACTTTCTCTATGTCATATAGGAATATCAACTTCAATTCAATATTCACATTCAAATTGAGAAAAAAAAGCTTATATATTAGGCATGCCTGGAAATATAAAATGTAAGTGTTAAGAGAAATTACAGAAAGGACCTAGTTTAAGACTTTATTAAAAATATTTCAATGCCTAGTTATCAATCTTGAGTAGATCTCCCAACTATAATAAAAGTGACAGCAAATCTTATTTTCAAGTTTACTAATAGCAAGCATCACTCTAAATTTTCTCATTGTGCTTCACTCTTTGCTCTGCCTGTCAGGAAACTCAGGATTAAAGTTTTAGTTCAAGCTTAGTGATGGTCCCTAGTCAAATTATTTCCTCTTTTACTCTAATTTCTATATTTTATTGCCTTGTATATGTGTGCATCCAATTTTAAAATAGTTTCGCTTTAAATTCTTTCTTAAAGATTGGAACTAAAATATTTCCTCTTGTGATTATTTGGTTACTGAATTTACTCTTATTTTATATTATCCCAATATACCTCCTTGAATTCTAAATTTTGAAATTTTATAGAGAAAAAATTGTTGACAGGTGGAAAGACTGGAAGAAATGGATAGCAATTCAAAAAGCCATCATAATATAGCCTCCTTCTCTAGCCCAAATCAAACTACAAGGACATACATATACTTAAATATGACAGGATTATTGTTATAACTAGTAAATGCCCTCAACATACCAGGCACAATCTCTGTTTAATGAAGAATCGCATAGCCTTGGCCAAACCCTTTTGTGGGAAGAAATTGGTTCCTTTGACTGAACATTATTTCAGGGAACTAAGGTCTTTAACAAAGTCTTAAAATATCTGAGATATGCCTCAGATGATAAGGGTTTCTTTCTCTACCTGAAAACTTTTCTGTATTTTCCCCATGAACATTCAGAGTCCTCTTAGGCTCGAAGACTGTGAGGGGACCTCCTTTGCCAAGAGAGATAATCCACCCATGAAACTAAGACGCCAACATTCTGTATTCAAAGTGATCTTAGGGCAAGAATCTTCAACTTTCCTTTTAGCAGAATGGAGCTAGTTTTTGTTTTTCCAAAATGGTGCATGTGTGTGTGTGTGTGTGTAAGAGGGGATGATTTGGGATTTAACAAAAAGGAAGTAACTTTCTAAATAAACAGAAGACATGTCACTATAAGCTTTACCTGATCCTTGTTGAAAAAAAATCCCAGCAAACTAAGGAAAGAGGGGACTAAGGACTGACTCTCTAAATTGGGTATCTACGGAAGACTGACTGATCAGCATCCTCTGGTTAGAGAACGAGTCTCTAAACATTCCCTTTAAAGAGGATCATCTCATTAAATATAAAGAAAAGAAAAGTAGTGAGCACACTGGCTGGCTGAACAGCCCACGTCACATGATACGAGAAACAACCTGCCTTGTTTATCTTCCTCCAGGTCATTGTCAGAGCATCCGTCACCTTCATCTTTCACATTGTCATCGGCATCTGCTGCCTTCTGCAATGAGGTGTCACTCTCCTTTTCCGGGTCTAAATGATCTTTTTCATCGTCTGAGGGTGACTTTGAGATCCCATTCATTTGATCATCAGCCTGTCCTTCTTCATTAGCTTTCTCATCTAGTTTCTCCTCATCTACTTCAAAATCTTCTTCATATTCTGAAAGAAAAAAAAATCATGACTATGAAAAGGAAAATAGAATCCCTGATATTTAACCCATTTTACTTGAATGAGAACTTTGACTCCAATACCCTCTCTTCTCTGGGCCTTTCTTCGCTTCTTTTTCACACAATTAGTGAACATGGAAAACTAACAGCAAATGATCAAAGATTGCAATCAGTTACATACACAAGAGAAAAAAAAAGAAATAAAGCTCCAAATGGCAAGCCCTAAACCTAATGAAAGTTCACTTACGAATGGGCATCATCATCTACAATAACCAAAATGGACAAGAGAAGAACTTGATAGAAAACAATAAATTAGAAATAAATTAAAAATGAAGAGAACAGGATTATAATAATGAAAGTTAATTTGGAGACCCAGTGAGGTCATATTTCATATGAAGAATGTTCAAAATATTTGGATATCAAGTTAATGAATAGTGAAGTGGAAAAAATTCAATTAATCAAGTCCAAAGGCCCTGAGAAGTAACACTGTGAATAGCACATTCTTTGAGAACCAAATGGACATCAAGAAAAGGCATTATGAGGAATTCTATACCTAGACCAGAAGCCAAATCATATGCATTATTCATCCCTACAGTCAATGAAATAATTATGTTCCAAGATAAAATATTCTTATAAAATAGAACATTCCTGTCACAGCCACTAATTTGCTGCATTCCCTACAGAGGTGCAACAAATCTGTAGCAGAAAAAGGAAATTGTCACATCAGATAAACTCCAGCTGTCCCTTGTGGTTATAATTTTTCACCTTTCATATTTAATTGTTCCCCTTTTTCCTCCACCAAAACCTAAAAATCTTAAAATGACAACATGCCAAGGATAGAGAGCAAAAGGATTTCATGCAGAACCAATTAAGCAAATAAACAATTATCTTTAAAATAAAAATTACAGGGAAAATAAGGCTTTTCCAATTTTGTGTGTTTTAGTTATTAGATATTCTGGCTTCCTTTCCAGTGGTGGGGGCCTCTCAGGTAATTACTTGAGAGCTATCCATCCAGCTGCAATGAAAGAAACTTAATTTAGAAATGCATGCCCTGTGCATATGAAGAAAGCTCTGTTAATGCAGAGATTGTATGAGGGAGATGTAAGGGGGAAAGTGAAATCAGAAACTGTAACGAAGAAAGGCAAACAAAGAATTCATCACAAGAAGGTTTTCGTTAAAGAGATTTAATATGGGGAACATGAAATGCGAATTACTATCTGCAAAACAAAATCACAGATAAGAAAGAAGATGAAAAAGTTTGGCTTGTGTTGTATGAAACAAAAAGGAAATACTAATAAAAGCATATATTTCGATCCAAATAGTTCATGTCAAAAATAGGATAGTTCCTCACTTGGCCCAGTCAGCTGTCAATCAATGCCCTTTTTGAGAATCTTTAATGTGGAAGGGGGTAAAATTGCAAGATAAGAGACTCTTCAATAACACAAGCCTTGCCATCAAGGAATCTCCAATTTTTTTGTGGAGGAAATAAGATGCAAGTACACAAGAGATACTGCGCTTATCATAGTTTTAATACATGATCCTCAGTAATGCTAGTTTCATCACTACTGGGCTTGATTGCTATAGATTTTTATACAGGACTCATGATGAATTATGTGAAATAGTGTCAAGTGAGTGGAATGGAATAAAAAGAAAGGCAGAAAGTCATTTGGAGATTGTGGAAGACTTCCTAAAAGGAAGAGTTTAGGTTAGCCACAGAACACACGTGCACAACCCCCCCCCCGCCCCCCACACACACACCCATAAACACATGCATCTATCACTTTACAGATATTTGCTACTGGTCACAGGATAAGCAGGTGCCAAACAGAACATGAGGGAATTGCTATAATTCCATCAATAGTGTCACATAGTGGTGACATATGAGGGTTTTAGAGGCAGCCCATCACGTTTCCAAGTCCAAGGGAAAACATTAGTTAGCTCTGTGACCTTAGACAATTTGCTCGATGTCTTTATAGTTCAGTTTCTTCATCCGTGACATGGTAGTTCCTGCCTCACAAAGCAGCGGTGAGTAATAATAATCCACACAATAATCCCTGGAACACGCTTAGTACCGTGTCGTGGATGGTATGTGTCTAAGAATTATTAGGGATTAGTAGTAACACGGAGGTGGAAGGAGTTGGCCATCGACCAGGAGAAATACACTCTAATGGAGGTACCTGATTAAAAGTGGAGAAGTACAAGTGTCCGCAATGAGGACACGATTACAGTTATGTTCTCGAAGCAGAGCATAAAATTGAAGGAACATGTAGTGAGCCATAAGAACAGTTAGTTCCCACATCCCATTGTGCAGGAGCTTCTGTGTTTTCTCTCCACGTATGAGATTCAAGGCTGCCCTGGCTGTGCTCTACCCACCACTGTCATCACATCTAAGTATCATCCCTCCGTTAACCACGGGCGCTCAATTAGCATGAGAGCTCAGAGCCACCTCCTTTGTGTTCCCTACTCGTGTTCTCAAAATGAATGAATTGGCAGCCTGCTTTCTGGATTCCTTTTCATAATTTCTTCTGTTTCTCCCATCTCATCTTCCTCCTTCCAGAGAATTTAATTAGCTTGTTGTTTACCATCCCCATTAACGAGGAAGTGAGTCGACACGGGGTCAACATCAATCCAGCTGCAACCCTCTCCCACTGACTTCCACTCAAGTTTCCTGCTGCCCTTATCATCAATGGATGCTCTGCAGAGAGCCGAAGCCTTGCTGCTGCTGTGTCTTCTTCTTCTTCTTCTTCTTCTTCTTCTTCTTCTTCTTCTTCTTCTTCTTCTCTCTCTCTCTCTCTCTCTCTCTCTCTCTCTCTTTTTTTCTTTTTTATGGACAAATCCATTTAACTAGCCAACACAGAAGAAAGCTTTTAGGAAAAGCTATACTATATGCATAAAGTACACTACTCATAGCACTGGCTTTGTTGGTGTAAGAAAAAAAAATGAAAAATACAAAAGCTTCTCCTAAACGTGGCTTTAGTAAAGCTACACATCTTGAAGTTAACACACATTAGAACACATCCAATTTGTTGATCTCTGTGCTATTTGCTATTGCCATAGATAGTTTTAAATTCTTGGTCTAAGGTGATAAAGACCGGAAGGGATCACAAAGAGAGAGAAACAGGGTCAAAGTGTCACAAGTGAAATCTTTTTTTAAGAGGATCCCATTCTCTCAGTGATAAAGTCCAGTGCTATAAGAGCTCTGTAATTTTTCTCTTGGATTTTGGAAACCCTTGGGCAGCAGCAAGATGAGATGAGGAGGGACCTGGGGTATGCCCCTTTCTTGGGGCCAGTTTCTTCACAGGTCACCCCAACCCACAGCTATTCCTTCTCTAATCTCTACACTGTCTCCTTGCTGTAAGAGGGACACGAAGGCAGCCCCGCCTTTCTGACTTTGGACATACCCCCCACAACCAGGCAACATCAAGAGTATCTTGTACAGAGTGAGAGGTTGTAGAGTGTAGGAAAGTCTGGGTTTTAGAATTAGACAAGCCTGGGTACTGGAGTGGGGCTGAGTATGCTGGCCCCAAATACACCACTGTGGTATGAGGATTATTTCAAGCTGAAGGCAACTGAGTAGTAGAAGATACAAGACGAGCTCTCTGCCCTCCCCTATTTGCCTGAAAGCAGGCCATGAACTTGTAAAGGTGTCTCCCCTGCCCTCTCTACCAGGGTGGACAGAAGTTAACTGCAAGGGATAACTCTACACACTCACCAGCCCAGAAAAACACCATCGGAACCGGCATAATGAGCCTCTCTGAAACGAGCCCTCCTCCAGCGGGAGTTTCACCAGAGACCTGCCTTCCCCGAATGTGCTGCCCTGGAAGCTCAGAGCTTTTCCTTTGTCTTGCCACTTCCCTACAAGTGTGTTGTTCTTTGGTTAAGAGACCACATAAGCCCAAGTTCTAACCACCCCCTTGAGTTACTCAGTGCTCCTGCTGTGAATGCGTGATGCACGTGCTAATGCGGTTGTTTTTCCCCTGTTTTAATCTCTTTTGACAGTTTCATTACAAGACCAGCCAAGGAACCTAAATGAGCCAGGGAAAACGTTTCCCTCTCCCACGCTGGGAATCTTACTTCTGCCCCTTCCTATCTGGATGTCTGAGCCCCAGTTTCCTATCCCATATTATACACAGAGTATAACATCTACCACAGTGAATGTTATGGGTGAAATGAAATAGCGTGTGCGGGGCACCTGGTTGGCTCAGTCTGTTGAGCGTCTGACTCTTGGTTTTGGCTCAGGTCACGATCTCAGGGTGGTGGGATCGAACCCCGCGTGGGGCTTCCATTATTGTTATTATCACTATATATGTGTGTATGTGTGTGGAGACTGACAGGAAGGGAGGAAGGAAGGAAGGGAGGGAGGGAGGGAACAGGAAAGGAGAAAAGAATAACAAGGAAGGCAGACAGGCTCCAGGACCCCACACTACGTCCACTGTTTTCAGCTGTGGAATACTCATTGCTATATAAGCACATTGTGCCTACCTGATGTCAAAGCATCAATTTCACCAAAGTGAATACATTCAAATACTTAAAAAAAAAATTCTATTTAATCAAGCTGGTCTCCTCTGCAGAAGTGACTAGAGCTTCTGGCTCCCACAGACGTAAACTCCTCTTTCCCTCCTGCCCCTCCAAGCACCTGCACGTCTCCCGAGTTAGGCCTGCCCTCCTCTGAGACAGGGGACACAGGCCTCCTCGCGAAATAGTGGAAGAGGGCGGTCAGGGACTCCTCCCATGTGACAGAGCTGCCTGAAGCCCCGAACCGGGTGACGTCCAGTAGATGTTGCCCACGTTGATAAGGGCATTTCAAAGACCGAAGCAAAACCACACCAGCAACAACCAAAGGACTGCGTGCTATCCATTACCGTATTTAAATATATTTTCCTGGGCATCTTCCCAAACATCTTGTCCTGGTTTTCCATCAAGTTCCATTTCTTCCACAGCTGTTCTCACGTCTCTGATCGTTGGTTTTTCTTCTTGAGCTGAAAAAATGACTGAAGCCGTTTTGTTCCCTTCCACCTCATGCCTTCTCGGTATCATGTACCCTCTCTCCTTCCTCAGTTTCCCCTCACCCTTCTTCAGTTCTTCTCTTTTCTCAATACTCATTTCTTTCCTAGGTTTCGGTGAAGTTGTATTTTTGTCAAGACCCATGGCAATAATGCACCTATGAAAAATATAAACATAAGGTGCTTGTTAACCTTTATATATGACACAGTAGAACCTTAAAGCTTTTTAAATCACTTCTTATTCCAGTAAGGAACGTTATAAGAAATATTTTTATTATAATACACAGAGTTAATTAGAAAAAACTCTTTTCTCATTCGTACCAAAATCTTATAAATGAACACAAACAATTATTAACAATTTTACCCACGATAATAAACAAGAAAAGAACAACTAAGAACGGTTGTCTCAAACTAAAACTTGCGCCTTCAAAGCATGTTTTCGGCCTTATTACAGATTCCAATAAACATATCACTCAAGCCCTTAAATGAGAATTATGTGATAAAAGAACATTCAGGTATATAAACAGGGAAGCTGAGATCAAAATAATCAGAAGACGAGAGATGCCACTGAGTCTGTGATAATTTGTTATTCCAACAACACAACAACAGAAGACTTATATACAAGGTTGACTCTAAATAAACATGATTGATTTTTTAAGAAACATATACAGTCAAATGTTGCTGTGCCCTTTAAATAAACACCTCGGGAGCCTGCATGGGTATTTTAATAGAACTGTCATCATTGTTTTTAGAATGGCCTTTTGAAGCCTGTACAACAATCTTCTGGTGACTTTTCCTGGCAATAAGCTTTTGTTCTTTGGAGATGGCAATAATTTGTAGAGGTCATAAAGTCATTCAAAGTCAAATCTGGTGAAACAAGCAGCTGATCCGAATGTATCAAGACGTGAAAAAAAATTTTGAAAATCAGTTGGAACAAAAATAACATGAATAAATTCTTCTATAGCTTTTTTCCTATCTCTGAATATTGAAATAAGAGTTCCAATTATGATAATACAGACATTAGTAAAAATATGATTATGATAATAGTAAGATTATTGAGCGTTCCCTCTGTGCCAAGCTCTTTGCTGGCTACTCTATATACATTATCTTACAGGATTCATTACCCTACCCAGGACGAGAAATTAAGAGCTATCATCACAACTTGACAAATGAAGAAACTGAGGCTGACAGGCCTCCATGACTCGCCCAAGTTCACCAGGCAGGTCAGGGAGGGAGCTGGATCCTGGCTCAGGACTGCTAGACTCCATCACCTCACAATGAGGTACAAAGATACTGTTAGATTACAGGTGTAGCCCTCCTAGACGGACACCCCCACAGACAGACTTGACAGGGAAAGTGCTCACACTCTTCACCAGAAACTAACACAATATGGAGCAGTTTGCACCAACGCTTAGAGACAACACTCGACCTGAGAAAGGTGCCTGGCAATTGTCAGCGTCCACCAGCCTCCTCTTCTAGAGCTACCTGTGTCCCTTCCCTACAGGTCACAGGACTTAGTGGGAAATTGAATCAATAGAGCACACAGGTGAAGACGGATCCAAATGCAGTCAAGACATGTCAGTCCAGGAAGAAGAGAAATAATATGTAAAGTTTGAAAATCGCCTCAGCGTGAATCAGATTCAATGGCAATTTTTCAAACTATAGATTTCACTGAATTTCAGCCATCCTCAGTCTAGAAATAGCATAGGAATCAATTCTCCCAGCTTATGAGAACTTAGTTATATCACTTATCTTTTCAGTATGTCCCCATAAAATAAGGCTAAAAGGATTTGCACTCAACGTAACTATCAGGCTGTAAAAAATGAGATAATAAGAATACACTTACCTCCCCCATATTAAGAATGATAAATGTTTCTTGCCTGTAATGATGATGTACTTAGCACACTGCTTTCCTTGGAATAAAGGTGTCATGAATCTTCACAGAATGTGATTACTGGTATTGCCTTCTATTCAAGCTGCTCTTAGCTTATCAATGGCAACACCAAATGCAACGATCTGGGGCTTCTGATATGCTGTTACTTTGAGTTTATGTTGTGACTGTGGAGAGGCTTTGATGCCTCCCTACTGCATGCACAGACTTTTTATGGCCCATCTGCTTAAGGGAATTGGACGAACAAAGTGAGCAACATCTGTGCTCTCCTCGTCACTGACTACCTATTTGACTTCTGAGTATAATTCGAGGTGTTGATTCTGATTGCTAAGGCTTAACGCAGTCTGCGTTCTACTTGGTGAGGCAACTCTTTCTCCTTCCAACTGAAAAATAACTACCTTGTCTCTTCAGTTTCCACGACTGAGGGATGGGTACAACCGGGACCCTCCACACTTAGAAGTGACCACTGTTGAGTCTTTCTTGTCTTCCGAAGACCTTAAACAGGTAGTTCCTAATAATTTTTAAGACTAGAACTCCCGCTTGCTATTTTAAATAATTCCCTCCTCATAACAAAAGTTCCAGAGCCAGTATTTTGTGAATGAATTGATTTCTTTTTTAACAGATCAGGGCATTAATGGGCACCCCTTTAAATAATTAAATGTATTATTGTGGATGCGACCCCCTCTAAAGCGGTTATATAATATTATGAGTGAATTATATTATATTTTATAAATATTTATTTTATATTTATATTATATAAATAAAATCTTTGAAAAAGAGTAACAGGCCTAACGGGCTTTATTCTTTAATATGACAACTGTTTTGTTATTGTTATTTGAAAAGATCAAATAAAGAAGCCAGAGGGAATCGAGTGAAATCAGATAAAGAAAACTGTACATAGATTAATAAGTGTTAAATAGGAAAGGAGATGTCATCAATCAGATTTTACTACTGATTACTAAATCTCCACAGAAAGTGTTTACAACCAAACATTTACAGTGTGGATTTATAGAGCAACTCAAAGAATGCAATGTGTTTGTGCATGGATGATTGTATATAGGCTCATTAGCTTTCTTGGGAGTCAAACAGAAATGTCTAAAATTACTTGCCCACAAATATGGAGAAAGCATATTTGAGTTAGAACAGGACAGCAGCCTCCGGTGGGTCCTAAGTACACCTGGGCACTCCTCCTATATTCTAGACCATTCATTCACTGTCCATTCACTTGCTGGATGACTCTTTCACACCTTTTCTCTCCCCTAAAACCTCCAATCCCTTCTTCCGTAAGCCTTAACTTCAGCTGATAAATTCTTTTTTGACTGAAAATACAGAAAGCATCAGCGGAGAACTTCCAGTTGATACCAACACATCCATCTGACACTTATTAATTGGTTTACTTGTTATTTGCCTTTCCCCCATTAGAATGGGCTCCACAAAGGCAGGAACTTTGGTTGGTTGACTCCTCTATTTTCTAGCTTAGGCATTTATCAATTCTCCGTGAGTACTTTCAGAAAAAAAAAATTAAAGAAAGCCTGCAAGCAAGTGTCCTAATTTCAAACAGAATGGCCAATATGAAAGCTGATAAATGACAGTCAAAATTGACCCTTTATCATGCATTTCATTATGCCTGAGATTAAAACTAGGGGCATGAGAATGATAACTGGGCCACATCGTAGTGCAAACATGACCTGTAATGCACAACCATATAAGGCAGATGCTTGGCACATGCTTTGGGACTCCCCAAACCAGTTCCTAAAAAGAATGAGACTAAAACACCCCCTCTCCTTTACTTCAGAAACAGAACTGAAAGGAGTATGAGGAAAGGGGGAGAGAAGGAAGCAGAATCTGGCATAGCACTAGCTTTTATCCCCATTATATCCTATATCTGGAAATCGAATTTATATCTAATAATATCAAACACAACACACTGGGTTATAAGAAGCAACCTTTACCGTAGACATTTCAGGCTCATCTACACTGATAGCTCTGTTAACAAACTGTGCTGAGACATGCATCAGTAGAAGCAGAAAAAGAAAAACATAGCAAAAGTTGCCCTCTACCAAAGGACATTTGTTTCCATACTTGTAGCAAGGAGATGATCTCTCCACGCACACAAACCCAAAGTAGCCTCGTTTGCCTCCAAGTCTGGAACCTTTTCGGTGCTTATATTCACAGCAGGAGCTTAACCTGTTCACTTGCATCCCATTCAGGAAAAAGGTGAGACTGAAGGGGAAACCGTGGTGCCTTTTGGAAATAAACTGAAAGGTCTCTGGAATTAGAAAAGTAAATATATCAGTGAAAGCGAATCTCTTGGGACTAATGGGTTCAAAATCATATTTTTTTTCTATTAGATTAAGTAAAATACTATGCTCTAGATCAGCTTTTTAACTTGAGGACAATTTTAATCATAAAACACACACTAATACTTTTGTTTATAATAAACATTCCAAAGCATTTTAAAATTCTGATTTGAAATAAAATAATAATATTATACGAGCTCTTACTGTGGCCAGCCATTATGCCCTACAATCTTGGGTGTGTTATTTCTTAACAACCACACGAAGTGAGACTATTATCATCACTAGTTTCTATATGCAGAAATTAAAGTGTAGGGGAACTCAGTAATTTACCCAAGATCGTACAATAAGTAGGAGAGTTTGTGTTGTAGTCCAAATCTCTCTCTAGGGTCTATCTTGCTATTCATGTACAGATAAATTATATGACAAAAGCCTACTGTGAGCTCAGGAATGCTTTAAAATAAATTTGTATTTTTTGCTATGACTTCAAACAGCCTAACACATATATGGGTGAGGAAGAACTATCCCATCTCAAATCCATTCTCAAATCTGCCTGGATTTGGTTCCCCTTTTGGTTCCCCCAGCCACTTAAAAGTCCCACCAATAAATTAAGAACCACTGTTTATAATTAATAAGTTATAATCATTGCAGGTCTTTATAATGCTCTTTGAAAAGGTCTTACCCTAGAGATCCCAAATTCTAGATCTAAGGAAACCCTATTCTACAGAGCAACTCAGAAACCTGCTTTTCGTGACACTTGTAATGTTACTTCCTACAAAAGGCATCTCCCTGAACTCTTCGTTTTCACTGATGATGGAGTGGATAATTTCATCTCTCTGCTATGTACACCTTTCTTGTGGTTGCTGTTATTACCACAGTTTAAAAATATGGCTATACCAGTGCCTCTCAAACTTCAGTGGGTGTCAGAATACCCTGAAAGGCCAACACAGATTGCTGGGCTTCACTCCGGAGTTTCTAATTCAGTAGGGCCCAAGAATTTGCATTTCTATTAAGTTGTCAGGTGATGCTTGAGCTTCTGGTCCAGGGAGCACATTTTGAGAACCCTGTTATAGATGCCTGCTGCCCTGCATATTTGTGAAATTCGTGAGAACTGGAACTGTTTTACTTATCTTTGTTTCCCCAGATCCCAGGACAATGGCATAGGAAGCCCCCAATAAATAATTGAGAAATTATTATTTTAACCTGTTTCATAGTCACCTAGAATCTGCCCTTAAAAACTATGTAACTCAGTTGCAACTATGCTAAAGAATAGAATTACATAATTCCATCATTTATACCTTAGTATTTGTGACATAAAATTAAGCATACAAGGGAAGAGGAAATTGAAAAGTTAGCATCTGGGGAAACTAAGATACAACAGATTTAAAAATCTGCTTGCCTTAATGATATATGGACTCCTAAGTATTGATTTAGGAGTTTGCTTTCTTTTCAGAAACTTGAACGGGACATTTATGTCATAGGATCTATTCTGCTGCAACATCACGCCCTATAACTACCCAAGGTCCTGGCCCGGGAAGAGGGGACAGACAGGGAAACGCTGAAAACCTGCACAGGAGGTGAGCTTCTAGATGTGACTGCGCTTCCATCGTGTACCCATATGGCTAGAGAGCACAGCCACCATTATTCCACTTCTTTCTCTTTCTTTTAGGCCTCCTGAACAAGAATTAACACCCTCTGCTTTTAACCCCTTGTTATTTATTTTTTAATTTTATGTTTTAAAATTTAGTGACACTTTCCAACCCTGATTTAATGGTGTGTGTATGGAATAATGGAAAGAATACAGACCAGAAGTTAGAAGACTTGGGTCCCTGTCCTAGTTCTTCACTTATAAGTTGAGTGTCCTTGGTAGGTCATTGAACTACTGCATTTCAGAATTCTCATCTATAAAATGAGGATGGCCGTGGGAGTGGGTGAAGGAATTAGGTTGAGGGAGCGATCTGGTCTAGCCACTTCACAGAGTGGCTAGCCTTAAAGATTACATAATGTACAATGTTAGAAGGCATTCTATGCTATTTGCAAAACATAGTTGTTCATTGTTGACTGCCAGTGGCTCACACTGTTTTAGGCACTAAAGAGGAACTAAAACACTGAAAAAAAAAAAAAAACAAATACGGCCTACTGCTTCAAGAAGTTGTCATTTAGCAGGAGAGATAAAAATAATATGCCAGATTTCTGGAGTGAGGTCACCAGATCCTCTCCCCTTAAAATTCCGTCTCTAAAAATGGACCAAAGACTTAAAACAAACTGAGCAGCAGTTACTCATCAAAAATTACTGAACTTTTTATACAAACAGAGGGAATCTGAGGCAATCTTGCCTGGGGCTCTTCCCACGCCCTCCCCCCAGCCACCATCTCATCACCAGAATTCTAACAAGGTAGGGCAGGCCATAAATGACCAGCAGCTTCCCAGTCAGTGGGGGCTGACTTCATTTGGAGCAGGAAAACAAAAACAACAAAAATCTTGGCCAGTGGCATTACCAGTAATAAGTAGCAATCCTAGAGGCAGGCTAACATGGAAGGTCAGAGATTCTGCTTGCTGAGACTGTAGTTCTAATTAGGGCAAGCAGTAGGCTAGTGGACTAGTCAGAAATTTAACAGGGAGACACAGGCCAAAATGCAATTATAGACACATTCGATAAGCGCTCAACACACCCTTGGCTAATGGGAAAGGGCACAGATTGGAGTAGGCCCAACATATCCACACATCCCTGGCCGACCAGGAGCTTGCACCCACGAACAAAGAAAACACAAGAAAGTCTGGTGGAAAATAAAAGTTCAAGCCAACTTGAAAACTGCCTGAACTTTGAAACTCCTGAACCCATTTCAGTGGGTTGAATGTTGCCCTCTAAGAATCCAGGACCACTGGGCAGCCCCGGGTGGCTAAGCAGTTTAGCACCGCCTTCAGCCCAGGGCATGATCCTGGAGACCCAGGATCGAGTCCCACGTCGGGGTCCCTGCATGGAGCTTACTTCTCCCTCTGCCTGTGTCTCTTCCTCTCTCTCTCTCTGTCTCTATGTCTCTCATGAATAAATAAATAAAATCTTAAAAAAAAAAAAAAGAATCCATGACCACCCAGAATTTCAGAAGGTGACCTTATTTGGAAATAGGGTCTCTGCAGATATAAGTAGTGAAGGATGGAGATGAAGTCATCCTGGATTTGTTCTGTCAAACGAATTTAATGACTGACATCCTTATAAGAGGAGGACAGGACACACACAGAGACACAAGAGAAGAATGACCTGTGAGGATAGAGGACACAGAGATGGGACTGAGGGGTATAAGCCAGGGAATGACAAGGATTGCTGGGAATCACCAGAAGTTGATAGTGGCAAAGGAAGATGCTTCCGTTGAGCTATTAGATGGAGGATGGCCTTGCTAATACCTGATTTTAGACGTCTGGCCTCCACAGGTGTGGGAGCATTAAATTTCTGTTGTCTTAAGCCACCAGTTCTGGGGATTTGTTACATTCGCTCCAGGAAGCTAATATACCCACAAGCAGATCCACAGACACAAGGTAGAGGCTGTATTTTATTGAAAGCCTTTTGACTTTGCACTGGTTCAAAGTCTTTGAATACAACCTGTGACAAATCACCAGATAATCAATAAACTATGAAAACACAGAGACAACCCTAGGAGGCCAGTCTTCCAAATAAAAATAGATAAAATCTGAGCAGAGACATTATGCTGGCTGTCTGTCGGGGAGAGGGGGCATGGATTTCACAGATTTCAGAGACGTTACCAAACAAACATAACAAAAATAGTGAGAACATTAACCTTCAAGAGGGGAAAGTCAGAATCTAGAATCCACAGTTGCTGTAATACATGATCGAAAATGTCCACTTCCGAACGATAACAAAAAAAGTCAAAAGACGTGTATGTAAGAAGCAGAAAAGCTTCTTACATACTCAGGGGGAAAACAAAAGCCATCAAATCCACTCCTAGGAATCTGCTCAAGAGAAATGGCCAGCTGTCTCCACAAAAACTTGTATCTGTATATTCATATCAGCATGATGTATAGCAGTCCCAAATTAAAAATAGCACAAATGTGCATGTAGTAGGATATAGTCAGTGGCATAAGAAGAGAGCAACTATTGACAAATGCTATGAATAGATGACTCTCAGAAACATCAGGCTAAGTGAAAGAAGCAAGACACAAATGCTGCCTATTGTATGATTTCATTTATATGAAATGTCCAGAAAAGGCCTATCTGTAGAGACTGGAAGCAGATCAGTGGCTGCCTGAGGCTACAAAGAGGGAGGATTCTTTGCCAATGGGCACAAGGGAACGTTCTGAAGTGACAGAGATATTCTGAAACCGGTTTGTGATAATGCTGCACAACCCCACAAAATGCTTAAAAATCAGTGCATTGTACACTCACAATGGATGAACTTTATGGAATATGAGTTACACCTCAATGAGCTATTTCTAGAAACTAAAAACTCAATATATATAACAAGTGAAAGAAAAATAAAAAAAAAACAGTCACTCTAAGTCACAGTGTAATGAAATGCTTCAGTTTTCAGGGGAGACCAAGAGCCACCGCTAGGGAGAGAGGGATAAAACAGTAGACGTTGTCCTCGTCAGAGAAAGCTGCATAGCCTCAATCTCAATCTTAAAAGATGGATAAAATTTGAATTTAAAATCCTTTGTCCTACTGCAGACAAAGGAAGAGCGCTCCAAAAGACAAGATAATAGCACAGGGGTGGGAAACAGTGAGGCAGCTGGTTTGTGAGGGAGTAATGAGGAATGCACAAATTGGTACAAAGGATCAGGTTATGAAAATACCAGGAAATGGGGGAGAAAAGAAAGGGATTATTAGGAGGGTCAGGGGGAAAAAAAAGTTACTTTGCTCTCTGTATCCCTATGAACCCAGGAGGCCAAGGTTTGCCTTGTTGGGAAAGATGAACATGGTAAATAAAAACACCTTGAAGAACTGTACTCTTCACATGGAGCAGAAATACTCGGTGACTTCACAGGTGCGCATAATAAATAATCAATATGTGGCTTGAAGTCTAAAATCAAACTGTAAGACATCGATGAATCAGTATGGGAATAAAAGATGCACTTGCTACGTTCCTAAATAATTAATTTTATTGTTATTTCCCATCCAAAAGCAAGACAAATTAACGAACGCCACATTTTTAATTAGTTTACTGCTCCAGGCAGAAGGCTAAACGTCTTGTCTTTTTGTTTGGTTTTGTTTTGTTTTGTTTCGTTTTAGCAGAACTCTTCTAAAAACCTATTCACATTTCACTGAATCACGCACAACTCTGGTTTGTAAAATGGGCCGATTCTTCTCAGTCCCGCTAAATTGCCAAGATCGCTGAACCGCAAGTCAACTCTGAGTCACCCAACTTTTTAATTGTGAACAATTACTTTCCTGGCAATCGAAAGGCAAGCTGAGACAAAATTATTGCGTGGATAGGATGCAATTCTTAAAGCCCCCATTCCATCATGTTGGTCAAGCCCGTCCAGTGACATAACAAAAGTCAGTCCCAGGATCAATCCGTATGCAAGGCAACGCGTGGTAGCCAAGTAACACTCTCCCTTACTCTTGGGTTTTGCATTGTTAGCACAGGGTATGTGTGTCTCCCCGAAAACCTTTCAGCCGGCTAAGCCTTGTTCTTGGTTCCTTTGTATGCACCACGTTTGCCAGCAGGCACATGGAACAACTGCACTGTCTTGAATGAAGTGTGACCCAAGACCCAGGAAAAACGCTTCATGACATTCATTCCGATTGCCGACTATAGTAAGTTCACCAGTTCTTCTAAATCAATCGTTGAAAGTTACACTTTCAAAAATTAAATGTATCTACGCTACTATCATTAGGGGTCTCAGACCTCTCCTGGTTTGAGAAATGTAGCAAACCATTTGCCGCTAAGAAACGCTACCTGAGCCAAGGTCCTGCACCTGCTCAGAGGTCCAGGATCTGCTCTCGCCCCGGACCCGAGCTGCACATGCGACCTTAGGAAGCCACCCTACCTCCGGACTTTGCCTCATTTTCCTCGTCTATGTAAAGGAAGGAATGAACTCTCAAATGCTACGACAATAAATTACATTTTGGCCAGGTACGTAGAATGGGGAAAACCAGTTTCTGGCACTATTGAGCATTATTTTTTATGAATAAGTTTTATAAGTCTTTATAAAGTAAAAGTTAAAATGAACATTCAAGTGTTTACTCTTAAGTTGGAAAGGTTTAAATGTTTAATCCCTAAACCTGTCTAGTTTCTTTTAAAATTAAGTCACTGGGGATCCCTGGGTGGCGCAGCGGTTTGGCACCTGCCTTTGGCCCAGGGCGCGATCCTGGAGACCCGGGATCGAATCCCACATCAGGCTCCCGGTGCATGGAGCCTGCTTCTTCCTCTGCCTGTGTCTCTGCCTCTCTATCTCTCTCTGTGACTATCATAAATAAACAAAAATAAACAATAAAAAAATAACAATAAAATTAAGTCACTGTTTATGAGTGATGAGGGAACCTGAAAAGCCAAAACTAGCAATTCGATTCTTGCCCCCAACTCCTAAGACTCCCTAAACTTCTATCAAGCTTGCCCAAATGTAAGTATTTCTTTTACTTAGTGAAAATGCAATTACTTTCTAAACGGAGTTTCTTAAACAAGGAAATAACAGATATAATCCCATAACAACTTGTCCTTTCAATTGCTATTCCACACAACGAAATATTGATGAAAACCACTTCGGTACAATATGTGAAACCCTATATTGGATATAAAAATTATCTCACGCTAAGAAAACTGGATTTATGATCAAATGAAAGCAGAAATGCACTAAAATCCATCTAGCCAAATTCTACGCCAAGTTTATTTAGGTGTGATTCACCCTGAAGTTTATTGGATTTGTGATTTTATCTCAACATTTTTCTAAAGAACAAATTGCCAATCTGGTATTTTTCCCTTAGAATAATGTATGATATAATTCACTATGGCAGGCCAAATAGTTAACTTGTAATTTGGGGGACAGTTTATTCCTGCAACATTTTAATGATCATATATCTCTATCCCCAAATTAATCTGTTACCGGGTTAAATCACTCCAAATTCTTTCTTCCACAATCTGCAAGAGTAATTGCTGCTTCGGTTTCAATCATGGAGCAGTAAATCTAGATTTACTTTGAGGCAGCTGGTTTATAAGTCCCTGGATATGCATAATTTCATAGAGTTGATTGAAGTCATTTTGATATGATATCAACGACAGCTTATCTATAGCATCAACTGCAAGCAACTTAAAAAAAATCACATTTTATGTGTACCTTTTTCAAGTAGTTTGCCTTTGTAGACACAAAGGTTTTCCCCTCCACAGTGCTGTTGATAAACTTTTATTTCATCCCGGAAGTCGGGGTGATCATGAGACAGGTGCACATTTTTCCCCAGATAGATCATTGTAATAGCTGCATTACTATGCGGTGGTGTTTTATGAATCTTTCTTGATTCCTACAATAAACAAAAAGAAGCCAGCTTATTAATTAATCACCTTCTAATTGGAGGGTAATGATACTGTCATAGGAGGAGTGGAAAAGGCTCCTTTTAGGCACCTAGCAACAAAACCTTGATAAAACGTCAGTCTTTGCAGTGTACAGAAAGTCAAGCTCGTTACCAAATAAATCTCTAATAATGATGTTGCATTTTGCCTTTGTGTTTTTAATGTCACTGCCAGGGGTCTGGACAAAGGTTTTCACTTTTTATTTTACTCGGGTGTGTGTTTTACATACAACAAAACTATCAGTGGCACTAAGAAAACTGCTCTCGGTTCTTTTAGCTGGTTCTCAAATAAAAATTCAAATCGAATGAATTAAATGCTGGTGACATAATTTTGTTCTGATTTGATTTTGTGATTTAGCAATTGTTTTGGTAATTGAGGGCTTTATCCTCACGCTTGAGCACTGACGGTGTATCCTTCCCTAATCTTACTCTGCGTGGAAGGGGAATGGCCCGCGTTGGATTCCTTCTAGGGTCACTCTGAGGATTAGAGTTGGAGGTTAGATGCCTAAGATCTTCCGTTTTACAGGCAGCAGTCATTCAATGAAAAACCAACAATAATTATTATTTTCCTATCAAACGGTAAACCCAACAACAACAACAACACCCTGTACTCTGGTGTTCACAAACTTATTTGTACAATAAACAATACACGGATACGCCAGAGATGGACAGAAGTGTCCTAGGCCTCGCCTCCTTGTTTATAGTCTGAAGTCGTTTCCCAATAGTGAACGAGCAAAGTGTTTGTCTAACCTCTGAGAGGAAATTGAGGAGATAAGCAGGAAAAGGAAGGAGAGGAGGCAGAGAAATAGCGGGGGGGGGGGGGGCTGGCTGAGAGACTTCAGAGGGCCTAATAAGAATACTGTCAGCGCGAGAATTATACAGGGGCCAGGCAAGACTTTTAATCTACTTCACTTTTCTAAAAATCAATTTTCAGCTAAATGAAAAATGTGAAGAGACCAACTTTCGGTGAATTCAAAGCAATTATTTGAGTTGGATTTCATTGAATTACGGATGCCTTGGAAACATGCATTTTTTTTTTAAACTGCAACAAAAATTTCTGAAGGAACTACTAAAATATTCCCGTCTCCAAACCCATCCCCTTCCACTTCAGAGAACTTTTTTTTTCTCCTCATTGAATTCCATTTCTCTGTAGCAAAAACCAGAGGCAGTAAATCTGATTAAATGAAATCCCGCAAATGACAGTCTGAAAAGTGTAAACGGGGAAGGAAGTCCAAGATTTAAAATTTAAGTAAATTGTCCCGCCTCGGGCCAAGAGAGCTCCCAAACAGAGAGGCAATCAACAAAAAATATTTCAGGGACCTCAGTAGCCGTGAAGGTAAATGAGCAAACTGGGTAATTCTTTGCAGATTAGAGACCTCTCCCTGAGTCACAGGCCGGGCTCCAAGTTGCAAGGTCACATCTCGCTTGCAGGTGCCGGGTGGCCGGGGCGCTGTGACAGGCATCCGTGCAGCCCAGCCACAGCCACCAGCCTGCAGCAATCCGGCTCCACGCTCCCTCTAGAACATTTAATGATATGATGGATTAAAAAGTGCATCTCCCTTTGGCTGAGCAGTACTTTGCATGGAAAGTGGCCTGGATTCCGAGGTAGCCCCGGGAGCTTGTGGGAGGTAAGCCCTGCGTAAACCAAGGGAATCGTGCGATCGGGGTGGAGGAACGGCCTGCCTCATCCGTACAAGATGAGAAAGTAGAAGTGGAAATGCTTAAAAGTAAAAGAAAGGAAATGACAGCTCTTCATCTTTTCATTTACTCACCTTCTTTTTTTTTCTCTGCTAAAGTGTGTTCCTGACAGCAACATCTCTTTTTCTCCTGGGTCTAGTTACTTCATTCTCCTTAAAAATATTCCCCAATTATTGCCACCAGGTAACCTTTTCTGGATTCTAACAGGAGGCCCGAGTGACAGCTCGTGATTAAATACGTGCGCTAGGAGCTGAACAATTGTTTCTTTCAGTTGACTGAACCGCCTCTCTACTCACCAGCCTCCAAGGTTAGAAGGACCCAGACTGATGAAACTTCAGCAAGCCTTCTCGGCCCTCTCTGCCGGCCAACAGCGAGTACCAAACCCTTCCATGGAAACCCAGTTCCATTGCAGGACCCGGAGCAGGGCCGCATGCCCCTGCAAGACTAAGGCTTAGCTTTCTCACTTTCTGCACCACTGACCACTTTCCTTCTCATTTCTTTTCTGATACCTCAGGCAAGTTCCATCTGAGCCGACAACTAAATGGCAAGCTCGTTGAGGGGTTGACCAGTCAGCTCTCACATAGTGCAAACAAGTAGCATTCACTTAATACACTAGATTTTTGTTGGGATCTTTTATCTGCGCTCAGGCCTGAGTCAGGACGCAGATTTAGGAGACCCTGAAGGTGCCAAAGGGCCTGCTCTCGCTGATTAGTGTTGGGCGGCAAGTCCCCTTCGGCCACTTAGGCCAAGCCCTGATGAACTCCAGGCATCGTGGAGTCTTACCTAGGCCCCTGCAATAAGCCTCTACTTAAGTCGGGTGGCCACAGAATTTATCATCCAAACTGGGAGACATGGTGAAAGAGGTATTATTAATAATTATACTAGAAAAAAAAACACAAATTTCAACTCTTCCAGGCAAGCTGGGATGTATAGTCACCCTACTAGCTGGTCTCCCCACTTCCAGACTGGTGTCTCTCAAAATGTCTTGTGTCCTGCATATCAGTGAACTATTATTATCACTAAATAGATCATGTGACGCTTCTGCTCAGAGTCCTCCAACAATTCCCAGTATCCATGGGACAAGTTCAGACATTCCTCACATACCAAAAAAAAAAAAAAAGTCTCCTATTTTCAACTCCTCCTGTCTCTCAACTGTTTGCAATTTCTATTGACACATTTAAAGGTCCAGCAGCTGCCCTAGTTGTAGAGGCCCGAACACTACCCACGTGTGTCTAATCTCCAGGCCCCGAGGACTCTGTGAGTCACGTGGCCTTGACACTATGCCCTTGTGTTCCATTCTCAGTAGATAAGGACAGTATCTTACTGATCTTTGTGCCCCCGGTGTCTGGCCAGTGCTGACACCTAGCAAGGGCCTAATAAACATCGATCTGACGGGACGCAGACGTGGAACACTTAGGGATTCCACATCCTGTCCTTTGCTGAGACAAAAGCTACAGTAAGCCGACCCTGCCCTCAACCAGAAGCTTTCTGCATTTATAGGAACTTGACAGGTACCACAACATGGAAACCCACTCACAGTGTCTTGTGAAACACCTCTGACAAAGACTGATTAAAAGCAGGCAGTCCCCGAGTTGACTCTGATTCGGGCCTTTGGAGGAAAAGGTTCCAAAGTGAGCCAGAGGAAGAGTGCTCCCGGGTTCGCATCCTAAGGCTTCAGGAAGCAGCTGGTTGTAATAGAAACTTCTCACTACACTCGTTTGGTTCCTCTCTCTCTCTCTTATTTTTCATGCTAGTTTTTCCTTGTTCTCTCCTCCTCCCTCCTTTGCTTTTCCTATGCTTCCTGCTTTCACTCTCCTCTTGCCTATTCCTCTCACCACTGTGTAACTTGTGTCTCATGCGTATTCCTCACATGCCCCCAATGCCTCCACCCTCCTGGAGGTATCGGAGCTCCAGGCTGTGAGGATGCTGAATCGAGCCTTCCCTTCCTCATCTCCCTCAGTAGAATAAATGCAGCAAGTCTGCTGAGAGGCACTATCCAGCCTGTATCTAAAAAAATCCAGCTGCATCCTGCTCCTGGTAAGAAGGCCTGAAAAGCTTATGAGGTCTGCCCTTAAACCCCCAACGGCTGCAGACCCCCAGAAGCATCTTTGGTTTCTTCTCCCTTCTATTGTTTAATTCTGCAATGCCAGCTGCTAAGATATCTTGACTGTGGAATTGACTTCTAAACCGTTTTTAAAGTCCTTTCTAGTAATGTAATTGCCAAACTGCAATGTTAATTTTAAAGGAAAGTTCCCGAAATAAATCAAGCCTATATAAGATATGTTGAATTATCCTATATTAAAATCATGCTGATGCTTTCCGTTTTCATTCTCCAATCTGAGTCTACTGGTGAGGAAAACCAAGAGTAAGAAAAATACCAAGATAATGCATTGACTAAAATGGAACTTAAAAAAATATATATGGTTTTAAAATTAAGTCAAACAAAAGAAATGTGCAATCTCTCTAGCAAAGCTAATTTGTTGGCTTTATTTGTTGTGGAAGAAAAGGGATCTATGTCTGAAAGGTATAATTTATTTCCATTATGTTTACATAAGCTGAATAGTATAATTTAAAGTTTAGGGGTTTTTTTGTATGTCTAATAAAATAATACCTGTTTAGGAACACTGTACTAATAAATGCTTGATTAAGTATAAGTAAAATCAAATGCCTTCCCTCCACAAGCTTCATAATCTGAGAGTAGAAGGAACAAATAATAAAAATACAGGAGTATTGATACTAAGCAGAATATAGTAAGGGACCTAAGAGAAGTAACAAAATCCTTGTGAAGAGAGGAAGGGATGGGATCCTGTTACGATGTAGAGAAATCAGTACAGAAATCCCCTCTTATGGGGACTGGGAAATGTGGGTCCGATAACATCCTTCTTCTATTTCAGGCATTCACCGGCAATTCCTAGAAAAAGAACATCTCTGCATCGAGGAAACACCTGACCGATGGCAATTAATATCTTAGTCAAAGGTTGGAGAGAAAAAGGCTTGTAGATAAATTTCATGAACTTTGAGGATTATGAACGCTCTAAGCGTCAGTCTGCCAAGCGGGTGTACCGAGTCTGTCCCTAATGAGTTATGTGACCTTGGCCAGCTTATTGAATCTTATTTGACTCAGTTTCCTCATCTTTCATACGGAGAAATTATTTTATCTCTTTCTTGAGTTTACTTTGTGTATTAAATGAGAAAATGCACATAAAACACTGAGCAAAACTCCCAGCACATACTGAAGTTCCGTTACATAGAAG